GTAGTGTAAGTGGCTATCACAGCGGATTCTGATTAATGGCGGTCACAGCGTCAGTTCATCTTCCGCTAATCTGGGTTCGAGTCCCAGCGGGGCCTATTCTTTTAGCATTTTTTTTGGATTTTTTGTTGCACCGAAACACCTGACTCATTCGTTCCACCAAGAAAAAATCTGCACCGCAAAGCGTTAGTCATCTGTTGTTTTTGACTGCTGTAGTGCTTGTATACCAGAATCCAATACACAAATGTAACACTCTTGACTTTGAGAGCATACCTCCTTTCGCTCTATGCAGATGGTGCTTCGGGTCACCAATTGAGAAGCAAAGCCCAACTACATAAACTTTATTTTTTGCACTGGCTCCAACCCAAGGAGCCGCCTCGCCGGGTACTGTTATTCAGCAGGACTGCGGGCAAGACCCCAAGGTAGTAAAACAGAGCCACAAAGCCACGAGCGAGCCAAGATGGACACGCTCTACGCGCTCTTCGCGTCCACCTTTGACGCCGACCCAAACAAGCGCAAGGCCGCGGAGCTCGAGATACGCAAGCTGGAGTCCCAAGATGGCATGCTCGCGACTGCATTCCAGATCGTCAATAGCCAAGACGCTGACCTGGCTGTCAGGCAGGCCGCTGCCATGTGAGTCTCGAGAAGATTCGCGGTAGGTGCTCGGATTTAGGCGGTAATTAAGAAGCGCCAGGCGCTCATGTGGTGACCCCCTTCAAAACGCATTCGGAACCCGGCTTGCAAGAGAAAAGAGAATTGCTCTGCGTTGAGAATCTTGCTGATTTCTTTTTGTCTTGATTTCATAGCTACGTCAAGAACCGCGTCCGCCGCGGCTGGGATGTCTCGCGCGGACAGCGCGCTGGCGGCGCCTCCTCTTCTTCTGCAATCGCCTCTTCGGACCGCTCTGCGCTCAAAGCGGGAATGCTTCCTGCTCTTGCACGTGCACCTGAGCGCCTGCGCATGCATATCACCACCACCTTGCTGTCTATGGTCGCTACGGACTTTCCAGCGCAATGGCCCGAGCTCATGTCGGAGATCGGCAACTACATCAGCTCCACGGACGATGCAGCAAGCGTCCATGCAGGAATTCGCGCGCTTCTAGAAGTCGTCAAGGCGTTCCGTTGGTCTGACGACGAGAACATCCTGGAAGGTTTGATTTCTTCGACGTTCCCACACATTCTGACGACTGCCAGACAACTTCTCGCCTCACCCAACGCCTCGAGCCCAGACGCCGGCTCTATCCTGCACGCGATCCTTAAGACCTACGCGCGCTCCATGACCTCCAAGCTCTCCGCGCATCAGCAGTCACACGATTCTATCATCCCATGGGGGACGCTAATGCTCGAAGTTGTTCAGTTCGAGGTGAATGCTGTTCAGCTTCCCGACGAGCCGGAGGAACGCGCGAAGTCAAGTTGGTGGAAGGCAAAGAAGTGGGCTTACTTCTCCCTCAACCGCCTGTTCAGCAAGTACGGTAACCCGTCGCAGCTTCCGAGCAACATGAAAATGTACAAGCCATTCGCCGATGTCTTTGTTCAAAAGTTTGCACCGGAAATCCTCAATGTCTACCTCAAGCAGACCGAACTCAAGGCACAAAAGAGCGATGGTCACTTCATCAGTAACAAGGCGATGCACTTCATCTTTTCTTTCTACACGGAGTGGTGAGTTTAATATCGTCCCTGTTGCCCGAACACCTGTTGAGCGCGGTCGTGAGCTTTCCTTTGCATTGCAGCGTGAAACCCAAGTCCACCTGGGCAATGCTCAAACCACACGTGGCTGCCATCATCCAATCTTTCGCTTTCCCTCTGTTGTGCTTTTCACAGATGGATGCAGAGCTGTGGGAGGACGATGCGATCGAGTTCATCCGCTCGCAGATGGACCCAATGGAGGAATACAGCTCGCCCGCCGGAAGCGCAAGCATCTTCCTCGAGACTGTCACGAGCAAGCGCAAGGCGAGTTTCATGCCGACGCTCGAGTTTGTTAACTCGATCATGGCTTCGTACGCTACCACCGGAGGCCAAGGAGGCCGATCCGCCCAGGAGAAAGAAGGGGCCATGCGCCTGGCAGCAGCAATGCAGCAGACGATGGTCAACGACACTATCGTCGGGCCGCAGCTCGACCAATTTTTTGCGCACCACATCGTCCCAGAGCTCTCCTCGCCGCATGGCTTCTTGCGCTTCCGTGCTTGTGAGCTGATCAAGGTGTTCGACAAGCATGGCATGCAGTGGAGCAGCGCATCGACACTTGAGAGCGCTTTCAATGGCGTCATGCAGTGCCTCATGGATACCTCTGAGCTGCCGGTGCGGGTGCAAGCCGCTGCGGCACTCGGGGAGCTGATTGCACATGAAGAGGTGCAGTCTATCATGGCTCCAAACGCAGGGCGTCTGATGCAGGAGCTGCTAAAGCTCAGCGATGAGACGGATCTCGACACCCTCATGGTCACGCAGGAGAAGGTCGTCGAGCACTTCTCCGATGAACTCCTCCCCTTTGCGGTCGAGCTGACCACTCAGCTGCGCGACTCGTTCATTCGCATGGTCCAGGAGCTAAGTGATGCTGCTGCACGTGTAGAGGAAGGCGAGGGTGGACCGCAGCAGGTCGAGCTGGGCAAGAATGACGAGGACAAGATGTTTGCTGCCATGGCCAACCTCGCGACCATGTACCAGGTCATCTCTGCCGCTGAGAGCAAGCCCGATATTCTCGCGCAGATCGAAGCAGTGCTCCTTCCCGCCATTGCCTTCACATTTGAGAAGCAGATGGCTGGTAAGTCTTGGTTGCTAGTAATTCAATGCCAGCCGACTGCCGACAGCTGACGTTTTCTGTTTTCCCTTGTGGCAGAACTGCTGGATGATGTGATGGACATCGTCGACATGCTGACGTTTTACCAAAAGAACATCTCACAGCAGATGTGGGGTATCTTTGAGCTGATGCACAACGCTTTCACCACCTGGGCCCCCGACTATCTTACTGGTGAGTGGCATGCTCGCGACTCCTCTGAAGCGTGTGCGCGGTTAACAGGCCTTTGTCTTCTCTTAGAAATGACTAGTACGATTGACAACTTAATCACCTTTGGCGCCGACATGTTCCGGCAAAACCAAAAGTATCGCAACATGCTGTCCGAGATCTTCGCGACAGCCACGCACAGCCCAAATATGGCCGCCGCGGACTACTTGGCTGCTTACAAGATCGCAGACGTGATGCTTCTGGTGCTGAAAGGCTCATTCGACGTTGAGCTGCCGGCAATTCTCGAAACGGTGATTAACTACGCAATGAACAATCCCTCAGCGCCAGCGCCGGATCTGAAAGTTCGGAAATGGGCGGAGATTGTCGTACTTGATGCCTTTATCTACAACCCGACGCTCACACTCCAGTTCCTCGAGTCCAAGGGCGCGACAGGTGGGTTCATCGACGCCGTTACGTCTCGCGTAGCAGCGTACAACCGTGTGCACGAATGCCGGGCGTGCATCTTTGCCTTCCTCAACATGCTTTCCGTTGCGCCAGAAAACATGCCGGCTTCCGTGCAAGAGCGGGCACCGAAGGTGCTTGGGACCCTCATCATCCACTTGGCCAATATGCCAGCCGTTGTGCGGAAGCGCAAAGAGTTGCAGGACATCCTCGAGGATGTTGAAGATGAAGATGAGGATGTTGAGGATGGCGGCGTCAGCGTCGAGGTAAATGGCAGCCTGGCAGACAAGTCGTTCGCGGACGATGCGGACGTCTACGACGAAACGAACGACTACATGGAACTCCTTGCAGAAGAAAGCGCAAAGCTCAAAAAGGCGGCAGCTGCGCATGTTGGCCAGCTAGTCGATGATGACGAGGAGGAGGAGCTTGATGACGATGACGAGGACGATGATGCAATCTTTGACAGCCGTGAGTTTTCAGCCGCATGTTATGTTTTGGGTTCCAGACTAAGCTTTGATGATTTCTTCACGCGAAGCTCTGGACAAGCTGCCGATATACGACTGTTTCCGTAGTGTCATGCAAGACTTACAATCCAAGCACCCAGACGCTTTCAACAGTCTTACTGCGGCGCTTCCGGCTGACCAACAACAGGCGCTGCACACCGTTTCTCAAATGAAGGACGAGGATCTGGCGGCCATCACTGCCGAGGACGAGGAGTGACCGTGGCCCTTCTCCTTCAACGCAAAATGAAAAGCATGCTGCTGAACATATTCAATATACCACCCCCTCCCTTGTAGCAATAGAATGCTAGACCCAATCTCCACATATTCACGTTGCCACCGAATCCTGCCAGCGCTCGTACTTAGCAATCATATCGCGCGTGATGCGTCGCCTGATGCTTCGCGCCGCCTGTAAAAAGTCTTCTGCGGCGACCTCCTGCGCGTCCAGAGACCTGGACATGGCGAGCAACCCTGCATCTTGACAGATTGAGACGACTTCTGCGCCGGAACAACCTTCCGTCATGTCTGCGATGGCTCCAAGCTCAACGTCTGATGCGATCGCCATGCGCTTGACCCGATGCTGGAGCATTTGCAGGCGTGTGCCGCGATCGGGTGGTGCTACGTAAAGCAGACGGTCGAACCTTCCCGGACGCAGCAGCGCAGGGTCCTACCAGGTTGTACATTGTGTCAGAGTCGGTCGAGCTCAACATGTGGATTAGCGCGACTTACGATGACTTCTGGCCGGTTGGTCGCAGCGACGACGATCACGCTGGTAACAGTGCCCACGCCATCCATCTCGTTGAGCAAGCTGCCAATGACTCGATCTGAGGCGCTACCCGTGCCCTCTCCATCTGCTCCTCGTGTCGTTGTGAGAGCATCGATCTCGTCCTACACCGTGAACTCCGAATCAGTTCAGAAATGTGGCCGCAATTCGATGCTGATGAGTTTTGACTCACGAAAAAAACAATGCATGGACTTGCGGCCCGGGCTTTTCGGAACGTTTCCCGAACTGCTCGTTCGCTCTCTCCGACGAATTTGTTAAAAAGCTCAGGTCCTTTGACGGCGATAAAGTTCAGACCGCTCTCGGTCGCCAGTGCTCGCGCCATCAGGGTCTTGCTGCAGCCTGGTGGACCATACAGCAGGACACCTTTCGGCGCGTCAACGCCGAGTCTGGCGAAAGCCTCGGGGTGCTGCAACGGCCACTCCACACTTTCTCGTAACTGTTGCTGCACCGAGGCACCCGCGCCTTCGCCGCTTGCGATGTCCGTCCACAATACTTTGGGGGTTTCAAATGCGATCTCGCGCATCGCGGACGCTTTCACGACAGACATGGCATCAAGGATGTCAGTCACGTTGATCGGTTGGAGCGTTGACAAAGAGCCAAGGGCGCCTGCCTGTGCAGCTTCAGAAAGTTGCAGTTTGTCAAAGTGGTTCGTAATATCTTCTGGGTCTGTTTCACCCTCAAACGATCGTCGTATTGCGTGCATGCCAGCTTCACGGACAAGGGCACTCAAGTCGGCGCCGACGTAACCGTGTGTACGAGCTGCAATCTGTTCTACTTGCGTCGAAGAAAGGTTGTGGGGGACGTGTTTGAGCTGCACAGTCAAAATAGCCGCTCGTGCTGCGCTTGTTGGAATGCCAATCTCGATCTCTCGATCCAGTCGGCCAGGCCGGCGAAGGGCTGGATCGACAGCATTCGGACGATTGGTCGCTGCAATGACGACTACCCGTGGACCTCGCTTTGACAGAGGAGTTTCAACTGGCTTTTTGCCCTCGCTGGTTTCTGATGCATCGCTTCCTTCGGTCTGTAGATCTATTCCGTCGAGAAGAGTGAGGAGTGTCGCAACTACGCGTCTTTCGACCTCACCGGCGCCCTCCCCAGCACCTTCCGCGCCGACTCCGCCTCCGGCATCTCTCCTAGGCGCGAGCGCGTCAATTTCATCGATGATGATCACGCACGGACTTTTTCGTTTGGCCTCTTCAAATACGTTGCGAAGTTTTGCTTCCGTCTCACCGTGAAAAGCAGAAGAGAGCTCGGGTCCGTTGATCACCATAACGGAAGAGTGGGTCGAGGCCGCTACGGCACGTGCAAGCGACGTCTTGCCAGTACCTGGCGGGCCAAAGAGAAGGACGCCTCTCGGTGGCTTCAGGCCTGGTGAATGCAGATCGTCAGATTCCATTCAGGCCTCCAGAGATGTTGATAGTGACATCGACTCACGGTATGCATCAAAAAGATGTGGCCGCAGGAGAGGCAGTTCCACCAAGGCTCTGATCTCACGGATTTGCTTGTCCAGGCCCCCGATGTCGGAGTAGGAAGCAGTACTGTGGGAAAGCCCTAGACATGATGAATCACCATTGGTGAGCTGAGGATCTGCCTTCTCTGCGCCTTTCCGCTTGGTCAATGCGACGTTTGTGGAACGGGACAGCGAAAAGCACAGTGGCTCCGTCTCCGGAGGAGCTAAGAGCGTCACCCCGCTGATGTCGAACATGATCAGTTTCTGATTGAACTCTAGGCTGATCCTCTCCATCAGGCGCACGAAGTGTTTCTGCACTGTCCATATTGAAACAAAGACGATGATTGTCAGGACGCATATCTCATTTCGACCGTCCAAGGGAAGCACACACCTAGGTGCTCTTTAATCATAATTGATAAGAGTCTCTTATCGTCTTGTGTGAGCTTGACACAAGTCTGCTCATCAGAAATCCGAAGACGCAAAGAGGACGCCTCTGGTAGAACATTTTCTTTGACTCCAGGCGGGGCCTTGACCTTGACTTCTCCATCTGGCCTCGAAAGGCTGGCCGAGCTGGCCGCCAAGTTGGGGTGAAGGCAGACAGCTACTCAAGAAAGCCAGGTTCAGTCGAAGTCCTTACAGCAAGCGAGCTTCACACAATACGCACTGTTTCCAGACAAGGAGAAGCTTGGCCAAGCAGCTCCCACACACCAGTCCCTGCTGTTCTTGTCCAGGATAGCGACATCTGGAGCTGCGATGACAACCGGCGCGCCGGTGGAGATCTTTCGAGCTCTCATGTATTCAGCACTGAACAATATGCATGACCTACTGCTCGATGGGCCAGAAGAAGAGCCAGCCCCCTTGCGCGATGAGGTACTCGCCCAGGGCCGTAGCGTCAGCGACGCCGGCTCGATGCCAACCTCAGGCTGGCTCATTCTTGCGAAGCACTCTCGTTCCGGACCGAGGACAATGAGGAATATCCCTGCAACTATCCGTGCACTGCAAGATGAGAAAGGACGCCTGAGGCTTCGCAATACCTTCCAGCTCTTCAAGGACGCTGACGTTGACTACGTTGACGTTGACTTCGATGTCATTCAGGTAGACGAAAAACAGTTTGGAGATGATGAGCGAAGCTAAAGAAGTAGAGTCTGGCACTTTCATATATATTTTTTGCAATTGCAACCGATTGCACAATTGCACAACTTGCCGGCTGACTTCCTCCTGTCTCGATATGCTTTGGGTGCTGGGCTTGCCAACTTCAAGTAGCCACATTCGGAAACCTGCAAGGACAGCTTCACGGCAGGTAGCAACAAGGGAAGCGTTCTGCAAGCGAAAACAAGCCTGATACTTGCGCTTTACGAACCGTCCACTTGAAGCTGCGTCTCAAACAAATTCGCCCATCATACTGGGTCGCAATAGCCACCGCGCCGGCAAGAGCCGCAAGGAGAGCCTCGAGTTGCAAGCTGTCGAAGAACAGAAACATTTCATTGCCAAATCTAACGGCGTCAGTAGAATAAAAGACGCTGACAGTGATAGCAGCCGAGGCTCTTCATTCGAACACAAGTTTGAATTTTTGAGTAGCCAGGGCGCCTCGTTGCTGGCTGCCAACGTACGTGCATCGTTGCAGAGTGGGTGGACGATGGGACTTCCGAAATGTTTATCCTGGCGGAGAATCTTCCTCGTCATATGTACCGTGTTCGCACTCTCGTGGCTCTTTGGGCCTGAGTCTCGAAGGCAAGAGGTATTTGGCCTCGTCAAGGAGAAGTCCATGAAGGGGATTGAGAATGTATCTGGTTTTACCCCACTCAAGAACAAGATTGGCGGCAGCGGGACCTCCCCAAGTGCGAATGTCCCACTGACAAGCACCATTCGTCACCGACCAGCCTTGCACGTGGATCAAACCAATACGACACGATGCGTTAGGCCGAAAGGCAACTGGCTCGATAACAAGGGGAAAGAGCGGCCACTGGTGCAATATGCACTCATGATTGATGCCGGAAGCACTGGAAGCAGGGTGCATGTCTACAAGGTGGGTTGCGAAGCACAGTATTACCCAGAGCTTCATTCATTTGACATTCGCCTCCTTGCCTTCCAGTTCAACTTTTGTGAAAAGGCGCCAGAACTAGAGGATGAGTTCTTTGACAAGGTGCAAGGGGGACTTTCCAACTTCAAAGACAATCCATCAGGTGCAGCCGACTCGCTTCGGCCACTGCTAGAGAAAGCGTTACAGCGAGTTCCTTTGAGCCTGCGAGCATGCGCACCGATCGCAGTGAAAGCGACTGCAGGTCTGCGCCTCCTGGGACCTCAGCAAAGCGAGGCCATTCTCGCCGAAGTCAGAAACATGCTTGAGAAGGACTATCCGTTCCCCATCGCTGACGGGAAAGACATCAACGGTCGTCGGCAGGGGGTCAAAGGAGTGCAGATCATGGACGGGAAAGAGGAGGGTGTTTATGCCTGGATCACTGTCAACTATCTGCTTAACCGTATCGGCGCTTCACAAGGCGCAATAGGTCGCTCAACAGCAGAACACAGCAGAACAGCAGCAGTGATAGACCTCGGAGGAGCGTCGACGCAGATCGTTTTTGAACCCACATTCAAGACCAACTCGCAGGGCATGTCTCCGGGTAAACATGTCTACGAGCTGAAGGATTTCGGGGCGCGGCCGCTCACACTGTACCAGAACTCGTACCTTGGCTATGGCCTGATGGAAGCGCGCAACTCGATAAACTCGCTCGCCTCTTTCGTGTGGAACCTCTCCCACCCAAATGCGCTGCGCCAAGGGGCACTGGCAGCAAGCGACCCAAGCAGTCTGACAGTGCCGCACCCTTGCTTCGCCAAAGACCGCCAAAAGCCAGTCAACCTCAAGCACGGCGGAGCAGCGGAGACGAAGGTCATCTTCAAAGGCACCGGCGCTGGGTTTGATGCGTGCCGGCGCTTCGTTGAGGTGATGATGGACAAGGATGCGTGAGTGCGCCACAAACGGAAAGGAGCTGGCACATGGGACGGTGGTGCTGACGTTGCCTAGATTTCTTTCCGCAGGGTATGCCAACGCAAGCCATGCTCCTTTGCGGGGGTGTACCAGCCTTCGCTGATGTCCGCCTTTGCCGAAGCGCCGATCGTGGCGCTGTCCTACTTCTACGACCGGCTCGTGCCACTCGGCCTCGAGTCGACGTTCACGGTCGCTGAACTGGCGTCTCTGGCGAAGGACGTGTGCAAGGCGCCGTCAACGTGGGCCACGCGCTTTCCCGCGAGCAAGTACCCGGAAGCGCTGAAGGAGCTGGAAGGCCGCCCAGAGACGTGCCTGGACCTGACATTCATGCACAGCCTGCTCAGCCTCGGGTACGAGCTCGATGACAGTCGCACCGTCACTGTCGCCAAGAAGCTCGCAGACACCGAGCTCGGCTGGGCGCTCGGAGCGCAGTTGGCTGTGCTCGAGGAGGATGGCGTGCTGTGCAAGATGGTGCGGTGATCGCACCTGCCGATCCTTCGTCCACATGCAACATCTCTATATGTACGCTTCGGTGGAACAAGAATGATAGAAGCACGCGGACCAACAAAAGACGATCTGCGGGAAAGCCTCTTGCACACTGTGGACACGTTTATGCTTGCACATAGAGGGCGAAGGGGGCAAGGGATAGTGATACAAAGACAGACCAGAAAGTAGGTGTAGTGTATGCGCCAGCGGCCTACTGATCTTCGGGCGCGAGCTCGAGATCGGGGCCGTAAAGCTTTTGGGTGAAAAAGCTTTGGTCGAACCAGTTGACGCGAACTGACAGGGCAGGGCGGGGCGGGCAAGTCCAAGCGCACATGGCAGAGGAGGGGGAGAAAAGGCACGTGGACGGCAGTCAGTATTTTGCAAGGGAAGGCAGGGACAGACGAAGCGCAACGCAACGCACCATACCCGTCCTCTCCGCCGGACGCGAACGCCTTGCCGAACGGGTGAATGGCAATGGTGTTGATAGGGCCAAAGTGGCCCGGCAGGCGCGCGCACTCCTCCTCGAAGACCTTGTGCCAGAAGCGTGTTTCGAACCGACCTTGGCGCGCCGACGTAGTCGTCACGTTCATCGCATCCTGGCCGCCGCCGACGATGACGAACGGCCGCGACGGGTGGATGGAGGCCGAGTTGAGCGGCGTATCCGTCGGGTACGTCTTGAGCACCTGCAGTGTCTTGGTGTCAATCAGCTGCAGTGGTGATGCAGAGTACATAACGTGGGGGAGGAGCAGGGATGCTTGTCAGCGCTCATCTTTGGCAAGAATGAGAATGGATGCATATAGGAGTGCGCACCTTGGACGATTTGTCCTTTGAGCTGGTCACAAAAAAGGTCCGGTCGGAGCTGAACTGAAGGTCGGAGATGGTGAAGCCGGGGTGTACGTCCTCGCTGACCTCCTCGAGCTCCGAATCGACGCCGGTCTCGGGCTCGTGCTTGTCGTGGTAGTAGCGGGCGACTTTACCGTTCTCGTGGCCAGTGATGATGTACTCGTCCAGCGGGCCGAACGCCGCAACGGTCGGCTTGGGCCCGTAGAAAGTGATGGTGCGCGCCGGCTCGACGCTCTGTTGTGTCGGCGACTCGCGGTTGACGTTGAAGACGCGGATGGCGCCCTGATAGCCGGAGCGCGCCTCGGAGATCAGCAGGATCTGCGTGTCGTCGGTAGACCAGGCGACTCGCTTGATCGCCGTCGGAAACTCCCACGAGTAGAGCTCCTTGCCCGTGGAGACCTCCCACAGCTTGCACGAGTTGTCTGCGGACCCGGTGACAAGAAAGGTCGATGTGCCTGCAAGGAGCGAGAGAGAAGAAGCGACGATTTGGCGTATGAGGTTCAGTGCAGCTACAGAGAGAAGCTGGAGCAGTGCACGACGACTCACTGTCGATGTCGAGGCTCCACACAGTGCCATTGTGTCCCTCGTACGTGCCTAACCGCTCTCCATTGTGGGAGAACCAGGCGTTGACGAGCTTGTCCTTGGACGCCGAGAAGAGCAGGTCACCCTCTTTGTTGAACTTGACCTGGTTCAACGATCGCTCGTGGCCGGAGAGGAGAATAGGACGCTGTCGGGATGCAGAGAGGAGCGCAAGGGCAGAGCAAAGACGGGGAGAGGAAAGGGGTATCGGCATATAGGTTTGGAGCACATCGCCCTTGCGATACGAAGCAGCCGCCAGAGCTCGGGTGCGACTCACCATGATGCTGACACCCCGGGCAAAACTAAGTCTCTCGCTTTCACTTTTCTTCCGCCCTGTTTCGTTGGGTGTCGATGCAATCCCAGCAAGCGAGATCCCCCTGCAGCTGTGTTGATGCGTGCAGAAAAACGATCACCTGAAGGCCAGAGACAGCTGGTGGGACGAAGCGTGGTGCTGCTGGTGCTACTCGATGCCGCTGGTGATAGATAGGATGGATGGTGCAGGTTGAGAAGAAGCAACGACGGCAACCTCGTGCATTGTGTAATGCCGGGCACTGTGCCACTGTGTACTGTGGTGATTGTCCAGAGGGCAGATTTTGATTTTTCGTTGTTGGCGGCTGGCGGCGGGCAATGGTCACCCTGCACACCAGGCAGGAAGCGGGAAAGATGCGCGCAAAGAGTAGGGTTGTGGCAATCCACTTGACGGAATTCGGGCTCACTCGCTGCGCAGCTCTTCTTCAACGCGCACCAAAAAGAGGGGGGCCACCCTGGGCGCCACGCAAGGGAGGAGGGCCCGGCTCTTGGCGTGCTACGTGTTGGACGGCAGACGAAAGGTCTCCCGCCGGTGCTTGGCTCATAGACAAACAGCGGTGCATGTGCCAGGGTGGGGCTTGCTTTCTCTTGATTCTCTCTCCCGCTTGCGCGTCTCGAGTCGAGCCAGGGAGCGAGAGATGGCGATCGCGTGCCGCGCGTCTGAGATGACTTGTTTCTTTTTTGGTAACCGATGAGCCTGCGGGGTGTCGCCTTGAGTCATTTCGTGGCTCTTCGTTGACGTGATCACGCCGTTCTTTCTTTTTGGTTGCAATATCCACACCCATATCCATATCCATATCCATATCCATATCAGTGCGCTCTGAGTCATCCCCATGCATACGCATCCTGGCTGCGCAGAGAATATACCAGAAGCACACTTCAACTGCGCGACCGGCGAGCTGCACGCTGCAGCACCGCGCATCAGATGGCCCCGTCCACCAGCACCACCAGTCCCGCGAGGTAAACTAAATAAATACACCCGGGCGGGTGCTGGCTGCGTGGGCATCCATTGATGGGCCAGCAGCCCGAGCGCAAACGAGCACCTCCCTCGACACGAGCCGCGAGACAGACAACCCTGCAGGGCAGGACGCAACAACAAGGAGCTACCACAAGCCCCCCCATCTCTGGCAGCATAGCGGTGCCGTGTCCAGCGTGACGTGCGAGCAGCGACGCGACATTGCGAGCTGAGCACCTCGTTTGCATGCGCCATACCGCACCCGCTCCCCCTCCTTGGGCTGCCTATCCCACACACACACGCCCTTCACCCTAGACGAAGACCAAATTCCCCTTTGCCTGGCGCTCTCGCTGGCCAGCAGACCGGCTCCATCGACCCACCCGCCACACGGCCCCCCAGTTCCCTGTTCGCCTGCGAGGCAACAAAGCGCTCCAGCAAGCACCATGCCGCAGCACCAAGCGCACCCGCCGCACCGCCAGCTCGCCCACGTCGGCGGCGGCTTGCCGTCCGTGTCTCCTTCCGGCTCAGGCTTCGCGTCGGGCTCGGGCTCTGGCTCGGGCTCCGGCCTCGCCTTCGGCGTGGCGTCGGAGGAGCGCGTCGGCAACGACTACGTCCTCGGCAAGGAGATTGGCAAGGGCAGTTTTGCCGTCGTGCGCAAAGGGTATCGCGTGGTGAGCTCTCTCGTACTTTTCTATCCCCCCCCTCCCTTCTCTTTTCCATCCTACACGGACATTGGGCCTTGGCATGCTGACCACCATCACCCCTCCCAACGCCCGCTTTGGTATGACAGCGCCCGCACCGTACCGCCGTCGCGATCAAAGTTGTGACGCGGTCCAAGCTGACGCCAAAGCTGCTTGAAAACCTCGAGGGCGAGATTGCAATCCTACGCGCCATCTCACACCCAAACATTGTCGAACTGAGTGATTGCATCAAGTCAGACGCGCACATCTACCTCATCATGGCCTTCGCCGCGTGGGGCGACCTCAGCATGTACATCCGCTCCGGCGGCAAGCTCCCCGGCACCAGCGCCGACGATCCGATCTGGAGCAGCAGGGACCTTGGCGCTAGCGTCGTCCGGCAGCAGCAACAGCAACAGCTTACCTCGCCCAGCAGCAGCGGCTACGGTCTACCCTCCAACGGCGGTCTCTCGCCCGCGGCGGCGCTCGCATCGTTGTGGGACGACGTGCGGCAGTTTCAGCACCCATCTGACGGCGGGCTGAACGACCTGGTTGTGCGCTCGTTCTTGTTTCAGCTGTCATCGGCGCTTGAGTTCATGCGCGGCAAGGCGATTGTCCATCGGGACATCAAACCGCAGAACCTATTGTTGCAGCCCGCGGATGCGCGCCCGCTCCTGTCGACCGGCCACCCGCGCGGAATCCCGCAGGTGAAGGTCGCTGACTTTGGCTTTGCGCGGCACCTGCCCTCGGCATCGCTCGCCGAGACGCTATGCGGCTCGCCGCTGTACATGGCGCCCGAGATCCTGCGCTACGAGCGCTACGATGCCAAGGCGGATCTGTGGAGCGTCGGTGCCGTCGTGTACGAGATGTGCGTTGGCAAGCCGCCGTTCCGCGCGGCAAACCACGTCGAGCTGCTCGCGCGCATCGACAAGGGCGAAGACCGCATCCGCTTCCCTGACGAGCGCTCTGAGGGCAGCCTTGCGCGCGAGGATACCCGCCGTCGCCAAGAGGGCCTCGCGTCCTTGCTCAGGCCGCACCGCGTCCCGGAAGACGTCAAGGCGCTCATTCGCTCCCTCCTCCGCCGCAAGGCCGTCGAGCGCGCAAGCTTCGACGACCTTTTTTGCTCCGATGTCGTTGCGAGCGGCAGTGGGCCTGCGCTCGCGCGCGCCATCAGGGCCCAGCAGCAGCAGCAACGCGATGTCAAGAGTGATGACGCCGGCAAGAACCTTAGCGGTGCTGTGAAATCGGAGACGGACATGTACACGAACACGCACACCGACAAGGCGACCGCTGCGCAGGCTGCTGGGCCTCCCACTCCCGCCGCGGCAACTGCCACGCAACAGACGGCCGTAACAGCAGCGCCCACGCACCCGCGCTACATGAAAGACCAGGTCCGCACACCGCAGCTAATAGCCGGCGGCGACACCGTTACCGCTGCCGGCGCCTCTTCCTACTCGCACTCTCAACAGCAGCAGCAGCAGGATCGACAATCTGAAGCCACCACAAGCGCACGAGCCGCCGGCTCTCCTCTTGCTGTTGGCGCGTCCGCTCCGCCGCCGCCACCAGTCTTTACGCCTGCACCACCGGGCGGGTTCGACCTAACGCAGACACAGACGCCAACAACACCGCGACCAGCTGCAGCAGCACAAACCCACATGCCGCTGCCGCTACCACATACGCCCGCAGCCGGAACTACAGGAGCCGAAACTGCTGCCGCACCTGCGCGGCCGACGTGGGGCTTTGCTCCCAAGTACATCGTCGCTGCTCCGCTCGTTGCGACTGCTGCACAAGCTCCTGCCCCTCCGCGCAGTGGCAGTGCCGCACCAGCACCAGCGCTAACTGCATCTGCAGCACTACAGCAGGAACGAATGCACAATCCGCGCTCTGCACCCGCAAACGTCACGTTGCCCGCTGTGTCACCGTCTCGTCGGTCCACTTCCGCGTCCACGTCCACATCCATTTCACTGCCACCAGCGCCAGCATCAGCGCCAGTGCCAGTAGCGGTTGCGATAAACGTGCCGCGTGGCGCCTTCGATCGCCGCACGCCCTCGTCCTCATCTGCGGCGCCTGCTGGTGCCGCTGCTGGGGGGTCGTCTTTTCATGCCCAACAGCATCAGCAGCAACGTTCACCGCACCCTCGCCAGACTGCACTACCGACGGGCGAGAGCCCGAGCCCAAGCGCTGGTCCCGGTCCTACTTCCAGTCCAGTTGCAATGAACTACAGCCCCAGCTCTGCAATGAATACACCGCGCATACGCAGCACGCGACAAGCGCCGTCACTGGAAGGTGGCATTAGTGTGCGAGGTGGCGGTGCGGGAGAGGAAGAGCCTTCCAGCTTGGAGGACAACACCGTCGCAACGCCTGGCTCGTCGAACATACACCTGCTCGTCGGTGTTGCGGGCCTGGATGACGGAGTGCCTTCGTCAGGCTCGCGCCGCGGCAGTGCGGCAGGCGGTGGGACAGGAGCGGCGGGAAGCGGGGGCAGCGGCAGTGGCAGTGCCAGCGGCAGCTTGCTCGGCGGCGAGTACGCCATCGTTGAGAAGCGCAACGTCGAAATCAATGCGCTGGCAGATGAGCTGGGCCTCGCCACGTCGCCGCTGCAAAAGTTCACCGCACCGCTGCACCGCAGACCATCGCGCCTGTCCAAGTTAAGCGGCGCAACTGTATCGGCAGCTGCGGCTGGCCTCACCGCCGCAGGCGGTAGCCTGGGCCGATCAAGCGCGCTTGCGCTCGGCCTCGCGCCTATTACGGCCCGGGAGCCTACAGACTTCTCCTCTACTTCACGCGAGGAGCCACCCCAACAACAGCACAATTGTGGCAGTGGCGGCGGCACCTCGACACCAGGGTCCGACTCATCACCCAGCCCCTATTCCCACCCATGGCCGATTCCTTCTGCGCCCTTCGCCATCCCGCCCGGCCAGCGTCCCGCCTCTTTCAATCGCCGCGCCTCCCTGTCAAGCTCCGGCTCGCCCTCGCCGCGCCTGCGTAATCAAAGCTTGCCGCAGTCCAGTGCTCCATCGCCAGGTTCGCTGGCGTTGCGTGCGCCCATCGGGATGCCTTCCGGTCAGGAAGACAGCAATGCTGCTGGCGTCGTCGGCGGCGGTTCTGCATCCGGGTCCGGGTCACCAGGCAACGACGCTGCGCTCGCAGGACCCTCGTCCCTTTCTGCTTCTCCCACGCCCTCGCCGTATCGCGCGCCGCCCGGTACATGGACGGGATATATAGGGCCAACAGTCGGCTCAGCAACCAGCAGCGCACTGTCGCGCGCCATCAGCATGGCCAGTGTCAGACTGTTCGGTGTGCCGTCTGGCATGACCCTGCGCAACGCCGCGTCGCTCGTGCGCTCGCGCAGTTTCCGGCGCCTCGCCACAGGCTCACCGCGCATCGGCAGCGATCACGGCAGCGGCAGCGTGCCGGATGCCGCTGAGATGCGCCTGCTGAACCAGCTCGAGGATCTGGGTCAAAAGTCATTTGTGCTCGCCGAGTTTGCGGACTCAAAGCTCGCGCAACACTTCCCAACTGGTCCACATCAACTCAACGCTCCCACCGAGCACGATCCTGCTGCGGCGTTCGTCGGCTCACTCGGCCGCGCAGATGGCATTCGTTCAGCACGGTCCTCGCTGCGTATGAATCGACGCACATCTTCGTCCTCCGTGCATTCAGGCTCAAGTCCTGGCGCAGAATCGCCGTCTCCAACTTCGGTGGCAGAAACGGCTGCTGCTGAAGCGCTCGTGCTGTACGCAAAGAGTTTGACGTACCTTCAGCGTGGCATCGACATGACGCGGGAATTCTTGGACGCCCGCACCCAGAATGGCTGGCGCAATAGTCCCAGCCTCGAAATCAATGAGAGTGAGTTTTGCCGGGTTTCTGCACGTGGAAACTTTTACACACTGAGCTTACAACCATCAATACCCTTCATGAACGGCAGCCGTCCAATGGCTACGTGCACGCTTCAATGAGACCTACGAAAAGGCTGATTTCGCACGCGCCCGCTGTGGCGAGATGCCTCCCTCAGCGCAATTCATTGACAAGCTCATCTTTGACAAGGCTCTAGAGATTGCACGCGCAGCTGCTGTCGATGAGCTGGAAAACAACCGCGAAGGCGTAGCGTGGGATTCCGCGCGCTGCCTTCTTGCGTATGAGACCGCGTCGTCGATGCTTCTAGCCCTTCTAGATCCGGGCGAAGAAGGCATGTCTCTCTCTCAGAATTCGATCGCCACTATCGAGAAATGTGAGTAGCAAGCCTTGTATCGCTGGCGCAGTCGTTCTGCTTTGAGAATTTGGCTAACGCATACTTCCCCCTCTTTCATCTACAGTCTCACGCTCAATCTCTAAGCGACTGAAAGCACTTCAGGATCGCATCGACCCTTCTTCTTCAGTCTGAGCCACTCCATTCACCGCTCATCCCTCTTGGGCCTCCTTTTCCGTCACGTCCCATAACGTCTCCGGTTGTAATTCACGAACGTCCAGGCACATTATTCTACAGATCCTCGCAATAGCCGCAACGTCCCCCCCCCCACCACCCCCAGTTGTACACACACAAGAGACACATTTCGTTCTTGCCTCAACTTCAGCAAATGTACCGCATTCATGCAGAGAGAATTTACATGCTAGCTTTTACCATTGATTGCAAGGGCGCGAGCTTTCTTTGCGCTGATCCCTTGTATTGTCTCGGACGGTGCAGCCTTCGTCTGCGATGGCGATGTCAAATTGACCTCGGGGAAGAGGCGTTGAATGATTGGTCGTCCAAGCGCTCGCAGTGTGCGTGTGACGATGCCTTGCTCGAGCCTTGCAATGTCGTTCCTGATCTCGCGCGGTGCCCGATTCGCCTCAGCTGCACGTTTGCGCGAGATGGCAGCAACTGTGAGGAATCGATCCTCTTGCAAACGCGGATGCAGCTGTACGCGCTGGATCCAAGGTGCGAGCAGAGCTTCCACCCACTGTGCAACGGTAATGTAACCTTGGTCGAGTGCGGTTGCTGCAATGTATGCCTCCATGTGATCCGCTTTAACACTATGAGATAGCGGTAGCAAGGTCGGCGGGCCACGAGGTCGCAAACGGCTGGCCTTCGAATCTTCTAAATTAGTCGCACTTATTTCTGACGCCTGAGCAGTATTAGAGGGCGATGGTGATAATTCTGACGGGGACGATGAAAGGCGCTGGATCATCCAGCCTCGTTCCCAGCTCTCACCCGCGCAGTCTTGTCGTAAGCTGTCCAGATTGCAGACGTCGTAGAGATGGCCCAGCAAGTCGTTCGAGACGAGGTGATTCTTGATGGAGATGACGCCTTCGTTGCTCAGATCTGGAAACTTGCGATAGATCATCGAGCGAGTGATTGCTTCCAGAACGCCGTCGCCAAGGTACTCCAGCCGCTATGCAGCATAGAGTTAGCAAGCGGATATGACATTCATTTGTCTTTTAGCTAGCACTCACCTTGTTCGTCTCGAATCCGAAAGAATCATCTGCCTCCCTTGCCTCTTTGCCACACTCAGTTCTCCGCCCCATCGGCCCGTACGCTGCATCGTACTGCCATCGATTGACGCCGAGTGCTAGGCTCCGTAGCTTTTCATCCTTGATGCGCGGCGTCGGTGGCGGGTAGTGCTTTGGAAACCGTAATGGCAGATGCTCGAATAGAAGCCAATTGGATCCGCCCACTGCTGCCCAGTCTCGTGAGGATTCATCCTGCACGCTGTTTCGATCAGAGGCAGCCTGTCCCACGGCTGCTGCTTGCCACGTTGCACGTTCTGCGCGAGACGGGAAAGCTGTCCCGCTGCTTGCTGATCCGTTGCGACTACAACTATGATCCGTGGCAGAGTCTTCGTTGTTAGATGAGGATCTCAGGTTGACACTGCTATCGGCACTGCTATTGGCGTTTCTATTGCCTTCGGCTTGGCCACCCGCTGTGCTCGTCTCCTTTGCCTTGGCTCTTGACTTTGCTTTTGAAGCAGTGCTGGATCGCTTCCCTCTCGATCGAGGCAATTTTCGAGTGGACTGAGATTTTTCCCTTGTAAGGAGTCTAGACGGTGCAGTGGCGGGCCAAGCGCTGTAGAGCAGCTGTCTTCTTGCTGCCGGGTAAGCGACGAGCATGCTTCTGCAGATTAAGCACAGTGAGGACATGTCGAAGCATCGAATGACAACGTCCGCACCGTCGCAAGCAGCCGTCTGCTGTCTGTGAAAGAAGTTTTCCCTCTTGCAAGATCCTCGCCTAGTGGCTTGCCAACGATTGGCTTGCGCTGTGAGCTTCCATGTTGAGTGATTCACTTGGTTGCTTTGAGCATTTGTGCAACAGAAAGTGCACGCTGCTGAGGTGACGCCATAGGCGGCCAGGGGCGTAGAGAGGCAAGGCAAGACTCCAGAATGAAGCCAAAAGTGAACATTCGGCTTCAGAGCAAACCCGGTCTTGGCCTCTTGAACTGATAGACTTTTACTTCAAGAACAAGTCCCAACTTCATCGATTGCTACATCTTCCTAATCAAATATTAAGCCCGGAATCTCGTCGATTGGCCAAAGCTCGGACGGATCGACTGTGAGAACCGCAGGGTGCAAACTCGCTTAAGGCACCACAGCTGCTGAGCTTGCGCTTTCCATTCAGAGACCGCTAAAGAGCATCAGCCTTTGACCTAGGGCTTTTAGGCACCATCATGGCCGTTAGCGCACCTCGCGCTAGCATGTTGCATCATAGCGTCGTCAATGCTGCCCTTCAGCTAAGAAGAGCGGCTATATGGCGCATGGCCAGCCCAGAAAAGCAGCAAGGTGGACTTTCGCATGGGCGCCGCATCCAAGAATCGACACGGCTCCTTTCGACTTCGGGCCTCAAAGCGCAGTCGCCATCATCGTCATCACCCTCGTCATCAAGTGCAGAAAAGATTCCCTCAAAGCATCGGCTCTTCTATCGCGAACTCCTCCCGCCGATCTTCAAGGTCCTGGCGTACAGCACGGCCGTCTACTTTTCGCTACACCTGGCTTGGACGCTGCTCGACCGCGACGAACAACGGGCTGCGCAAGCTAAAGAGATTCAAGGGCTTGAAGAGGAGGCAAGGGCTGCCGCTGCAAACGTCAAACGAACTCTAGAGAGCAAGGGAGAACAAGCGAAGGAGCAGAGCAAGAGCAAGAGCTGGTGGAACAAGCTCACGGGGCGGTAGCAAACCAGGCGAACGCACGGCACAGTCTACGAACTGACAGCTCCTTCGCAATATCTACATTTCTATTCTTTTTCTGGCAGCTTCTGTCACAATCCTGGGGAAATCAGCTCTATGCTTTTCCAGTCGAGCCAAAAAGGTCGAAGAACCGCTTCACGTTTTTCTCGAACACCTGCATGCCCAACTCGTACACGTCGGGCAACGCAGTCTGCTTCGGTATCTCTTGCGCCCAGACGTTGAGCTGTGGATTTCTGGTCCATGAGTTCACGTTGATCTTGACGGTGCCGCGCTTGATGCAGTCTGTAAAGAGATGGTCGGGAAGGTCGTCCGTACCGTGGAGGACTAAGTGTGCATTTGAAGGAGTCTTGTAGCCAACAGCTTTGTCCAATTCTGAGAGGAGGTCAAGCTTGAAGAATGCGACCGGATCCGAGGGGTAGTTGCCGTGCATGTTGCCCACTGTGCGGCACCAGTCATAACCAGGGAGTCCAGATCGTTAGCAACTGGGAAAGAGAGCGGTGATTCATAAGGCCGCATACCACATGGGGCCAGCATTGAAGCCTGCAATTCCGAGAGGAAGTGCTTCGCTAATGGCACAGACAAAAAACCAGCAATGATTGAGCACACGTATCATGTAATTCATTTCGACCCTCACTCACCTTTCTCGGGCTTAGTGAGGATGGCTTCATCAGCGGTCTTGATGCCACCCTCTCCACCGCTAAGACGGCCAAGCTCAACCTCCACAGCGATACCGAGCGAAACAGCTTTGTCGACAAATGGCTTTGCCTGCTTGATGCTGCTCTCGTCATTATCAGCATGGCTTGCGTCAATCATGATTGAGTCGACCTTGATGTGTTGCTTCTCAGCGAGCTCCTCCAATATCCATTTGATGTCTTCATCCTCCTGCGCATGGTCGACGTGCACGCTGATCGGCACGCTCGCAGCATGCGCTGCATCGATGCAGTACTTGACGAAAAGCGGGCCGAATTGGCGCATGGTGATGGGGAAGAGCTGAAGGATTGCGGGCGAGCGTGCCGACTCACATGCACGCACGAGCGCTACGACTGACTGAATGTCGTATACGCACTGGGCGATCACGCCGTAGCCGCCCTCCTCGGCTGCAGCGAGGATCTGCAGGGTCAGGTTGTTCTTTTTGAGGGCTTCCATGGTGGAGGATTGCTTCGGCCTGTTTCCTCTCTGGGGGGACAAGCTGCACGTGTGGAAGCAGGAGCTCATTTGACAGCAGATGCTTGTTCGTCGCTATTTATATAACCCGACAGCACTATCTGCCAAAGCGAAAGCCAATCCGACGTGGTGTCCACCCCATGTCTCTGTAGCCGGGGATGCGACTGACTCGCTCAGTTGCTCTTGGCGAAACGCCACCACTTGCGGGGACACCCCGTGGGGGTGGGGGGTGGGGGATAAAGGAACGCCTCATTCTCCCGCGGCAAAACACGTCCACCTCCCATCACTTGCTCATCAAGTGTGTGTATATATATATATATATATATACGCATATGATGCCTCACTGGTGCCCTCTGCTACCTGAGCATAGTATGTTCATGACTTGCATTCTCTTCCTTTAAAAGGCAATACCCTGTCAAGGTGGTCACAACCACTGTACTTTGACTTCTGGATGGCGAATTGCCTACCCTCTGAATGCAAGAATGTCACGAACAGAGACGATTCTCATCACCGGAGCGGGGGGCTGGCTCGGCTCACTGCTCGGGCCCGCAATAGCATCCCTCGAGCCGGAGAAGTGCTTCAAGTTCATTCTAGCTGACGTTCACGAACCCAAACATCCCGTATTTCCCTTAACCGACACTGAAGAGACACAATATGGATGCATCTGTGTCAAGGCGGACTTGACCAGTGAAGATGAAGTCGAAAGACTCTTCCAGACAGAAATGGGCCGACCAGATGGTGAGCAAAAGCAGTCCCCCCTTCTATCAGCACGGTCTGACGGTTGTAGCTCGCATTTGCAGCTGTATTCGCAATGCACGGCGTCATGAGTCTTGGCTCAGAGGATGAGGACGCTTTGTCGGACACAAGCTAAGCTTGCTGAGACTGACATGCCTGGTTTCGGCCGGAAAAAAATTGGGACCTCGGCTTCTCGGTTAATTTCGACTCACATCGATCGCTTCTGAACAAAGCACGCAAGTACAAATACTCCCATCCGTCTGCATCCGGCGTCCTTCAGCCGATTCGCTACGTTTATGTATCTGCAACCGCAGTCTACGGTCAGCCCTTGCCGGAGGTCGTGCTGCCCATGACTGCCTGCTTTCCCTTCGGTGCATACGGCACTGCTAAGTTCATGTGCGAACAGCTAGTCACCGAATACTCGCGAAAAGGTTGGATCGACGGTATCAGCGTGCGCCCTCCCACGGTCGTTGTGAGGCCTGGGCCTCCAAGTCGCGCATCGAGCGCGTTCGTCAGCGGAATCATCCGCGAGCCATTGCACGGGCAACAGGCGATCTGCCCGGTTGGTTCTGGTATGGATGACACAGAAACGCTGAAGGGTACCAGGGTTTGGGTCGCGAGTTCAGGTATCACCGTGAGGAATATTGCGCGTGCGATGAAGGTCGACACTAGCAACATGAATGCGCATTCAAGGGCGGTCGAGCTACCCGGCTTCACCATCAGCCTCTTTGAGCAGATTGAAGCGCTACGACAAGTAGCAGGGCATGAGTAAGTTCCTACTTTCACATTGCCACCCCGGGCGCAGCAAAGGGTGCTAAGCAGTGCTATGCTTTCACAGAGCCGTCAGTCGCATACGGTTCGAGCCGGACGAGACTTGCCGGCGGCTAGTGACATCTTGGCCAGCGTCATTCGACAATTCATACGCTCTCTCAATGGGATTCGAGGTGGACACGGAAGGGTTCATCGGCTGCATAATGGAGTACAAAGCTCAATACGTTGCGTGATGGTCGCAAAGCTCCTTATGATTGGAACATTTGTGCATCACTGTCAAATGCATGCTCGCACTCTGTCTTATGGGTCACTCCTCGTCACACCTTAGCTCTGAACCCCGTCGATCCCCATCTTCTTCCAATACTTTTCTCTGAGGCTGAGCGCCATTTGAATGGCGATCCAACTACTGAACGAGCTGGGCAGCCAATCGGCGATGGCTTGCGACCACCGCTGCGGGCCCCAGGGGTATATGAACGGAGCCGGGCGCGGTGTCCACCATGTTGAGCGAAGGGAAGTGATCGCTGCACGCACCCATGCTTCCGACGTGGGAACCATGATCCCTGGCTCGCCTTCGTGCATGCCCGAGACAACTTGGCCTGGCGCCATGCACACTACATCCACTTTCTGCTTTTCTGCCCACATTTCGTTGTACAGCGAGCGGCTGAACGAAACGTCAAACCCTTTGGTGCCGCAATAGGGAGAGAGACTATAGGCGAGAGTCCAAAGTGTAAGTGCGCGAACAAGCAGTCAATATCGATCAGAATCGAAACGCACTACGGTGGAGGATTGGTCCATGCCATGCTGGTGATGGTGACGAGTAAGCTTGGCTGGTGCTGCTTGAGTTTCCCAAGAGTCAAACGCGTGACTTCTGCTGGAAACATTGAGTTCGCAATGATGATACTTGCAACGTCTTCTCTGGTTTCCGTCTCGAATCGCGGGTACGAGACCGAGTTGATACCGAGATTGTTTACGACAATCGTCAAACGTACACTTGAATCGTTCATGAGCGCCGTCAGACCTTGAGTGAGGGGTTCATTGGGCCAGATAGTCGCTTCCGTGACGAGCAATTTGACGTCGACCCCCTTTGATGCCGGCCTGGACAGGATCTCCTTTTTGACGACTTCCAGTTTTGAGCGATTTCGCCCTTGAATGATCACATTGAAGCCAAGACCTGCGAGCTGATACGCCCACTCCTCACCCATGCCACCCGTGCTCCCGGTGACAAGCGCATAAGGTGCACCAGACGAGCGCGATGACGTGGTAGAACCATTGGCGTGCAGATAGCGTTGCAGAGGGTGCGACATAGCGTGGTCGACGATTCTACGCTGAAACAAGTGTCTAAGAGGGCCAAATGGCAAGCTTACTCCAGGAAACCTAACAAAGCATACTCTTCTTCACGATCCGTGAAGCTTTAATGTCGAGTCCCCCAGTCCCAATCTATGACCTGCCCTTCCAACAATCAGGCTTACACGCTTTCTGCGCTGGACCCTCTTCACTATCGGAAACAGTTGACCAGCTCGCGTCTAGAGTCGAACCACATTTTGAATGTGCAACTGTAAGTTCGAAATTGGGTGATCGACGATTCAAACCCACCAGAATTCGGTACGTCCGAAGCAAGAAGGTACCAAATGCCGGCCAGCAAAAACACATGAGAATGGGGACCCTCTGCCGTCAATTACTGTTGGTCCAGTCATCAGTCCGGCCACTCATGTCATTCGGGACTCTCGAGTCCGTACCCGTTCGTAGCCAAGCTCGCACAGGTGCAAGCCGCACTCTTGGTTCAAAGGTCTTGAATAGGCCTGGGATTGCTTGCGACAGGAGGTCGAAACACATGCGAGGTACGCCAGCCACCTTGGTCTCTTAAATTGCACGCTGAGAATGAGCGAGATGGCGTCCAAAATTTGGTCTTACCTCAGCATCAAGTCGACATTGCCGCCGCCTCCACGACCATCTCTGACGTCTGCTCTCGAGCGCCTACAGGCGGCCATGCATTGGAAAGCCAGACGAACGCCTACCTCAGTAGCAGATCACTTTTTAGACGGACAAATCAAGGCTAGCCATGTCGCGTCACCGCAACTAACTCTCCTCGTCGCCAGCATCGCTTTCGCAGTGTTTCTCTTTTGGCTCCTCTTTGTACCACCCAAGCGGCTGCACCACAGCATCAACAATGTGCCAATCTTGCCTTGCAGATTTCCTGGCCTTGGTGCTGTTGGCTTCTTTGGAAACCGCTATACTTTGTGAGTTAGCAGGGCGAGATGATCCAAGGTCTCTCAGAATTTGTCTCTGATCGGATTGTTCTTCGCAGCCTGAACAAAATGGTCACGAAAGATCCAGCACGACCGCATGAAGGCATCGCAAAGTTCAACCTCTTCGGGCACATCGTATACCACGTCGGGTCGAATGACGAAGCGACAATGCGAGCCATCGCCCAAAATCCGGACCTCAGCTTCTCTCAAGGAAACTCTCTGCTCTTTGCTGGCATCCAGGGCGCAGGTCAAAAAGGACTAGACGATGGCGGCGAAATGGATGCAGAGGAGAGGAAGGAAATGAGGGACTTGGCAAAAGCAATCAGCCCGCGACGTCTGGCAGATATCACGCCTGTGCTCGCGAGCGATGCGGTGAAGGCTTTTGACGAATGGATCGCGCGGTCGCCCAAGTCTCCAACCACCCGCGCAGCTTTGATTGATCTGCAACAAACCTATTACCCCCTCATTTTTCAATTTAGCGTGCGGATGATGGGACTATCCGAGTATGCCTCCGCTCCCGCTGAGTTAAGCAAGCTCATGTGGGCATTCTGGCTGACGCAACGAAATGCCGGCTTCTGGACGACATTGGTTCCATGGCTGCCTCAGCCGCAGCTGATCAAACGCCTCGTGGGCGCAGCAACACTGTGGATCATGGTTCGCGCGTCTGTCAAGAAGCGCATCGAAGAGGGCCGGCGCGAAGATGACTACGCGCAAACATTGATCGATGAGGGACATTCGCCCGGCAAGATCAGCCGTTTTGTCATCGGTGGATTGATTGCTGGCATTCTCAACACCATCGGTACAGGCGCATATGTTCTTGCCTGGATTGGAGCAGATGCAAAACTGAAGAAGGTGGTTAGGGATGAAATCGAGGATCTGTGCAAGAAAAGCGCCGAGAAACGCGGGGAGGTGTATGAGGAGCTCACTAATGAGGAGCGGCTCACGCGCGTCACGCTCGAAGAGTGGGAGTCAGGCTTGGAAACGCTCATGCTCTGCTTCAGGGAAAGCATTCGCTTCTTGTTGACCAACAGCATCAATCGCTACTACCCTGGTCCGCGCAGAGACACCAAGGGCAACGTCAGGCCACGTCTCAAGCTGCTGGGTCATGAGATCGAGGACAATGCCTATGTCGTCTACTCGCCTTCGTCCAATTTGCACAGCGCCGATGCTTTCTCAGATCCGTGGAGATTCGACCCGTTCAGATACAAGCGAGGCGAGGGCCAGACCGAGTACACCATGGTCGGCTGGGGCTTTGGGCATCACCGTGAGTTCATACTTTCAACTTCACCATTCGCGCCGGCTTCTGACCCGCCCTGTGTTCTAGGCTGCACGGGGATACGCTTTGCCAAGCTCGAGACGATTATGGCCACCGCAACCTTTATGCTGTGCAACGACTTTGTCACTGTCAACGACAAAGACGAGCCTTACGGCCCGCAAGAGGTACCGCTCCCCGATTTGAGCCAATTGCATTGGCGCGAGCCGCGGAGACCAATCCGCTTGCGCGTGCATAAACTCAAGTCAGATTGACAAAGGGGGTTGTTCGAAGGTTCCCTGGCACAAGATGGGATATTTATTCTATAGTCAAATAGACGAGAGTGGGTCTGCGCCATGAGTGAAATTATCATTCTTGAAATAGGTGTATGCTTTTGGCGTTCCTCTGTGGTATGTTAGGAGCCCAGCGCAGAGCACATGCTCTTGGCTTGCGGTACATTGTCGTTGTAGGGTACTGGGTAAGCCGGGACCTGGACCTTCTGGCACAGGATGCCAACGTCCATGTTCTTACAGCCGCCGAACTTGACCATGCGGTCGGAGAACTGCTCGGCGATATTGATGTAACCCGCGACACGTTGCTGGAAGAGTCCAACGCAGTCGTGGTCTGATCCGACGTTGTCGTACCGGCTGAGATGCAATGATGATTAGAAGCGTTTGGCAACTGTCGTGGCTGGATACCGGTCCATTCGCGACTTACTAGTTGAATGAGGCAGACACGCCGTTATTTGCGTGGTTCTGCACGCCGCCTTCGGTGATGGCAGCCAGGAAGGCTTGGCGGCCCAGGCCCCTGGCCTTGACACTTGGAACGGTCTGGTGAATGCAGGATGGCGGGATCAGTTCGTATCCGTATAGATTAGCGCGCTGGTTCTGGTAGCACATGATCTCCGAGCTACCGGGACTGATACCTGCCTAGAGTCGGTGCATACCATCTCGGGGCCGCTGGGGGGGGGTCGTCGAATGGAGGTTCGGTTCTGCGAGTCTCACGTTATGATTTGGACATGTCACGATGTACTCATCATCTACCGCTAGAGCAAGTGGGGTACGTGCAGCATTGGGCGGTGGGCAAATTAGAAGCAAATGTGCCGTGGGAAAGCATTCGAATCCTCTATCAAAAGTTTTGCCACTCGCTGTTGGAAGCATCTGCGCAAGTCCCAGTGGGGCTGGCGCTAACCCATTCACCTGTTGGGAATTCGAGCTCGCAGCTCCAGCCTGCATTTCCCTTGGCGACAGCTGCTCACGTAGGATGTTGTTGACGAGGTACGTCTGCGAGGCAGCACGTGCTGTCTGGGCAACGACGAGTGCGCCGACAATGAAGAAGACAAGAGTGAACTGGATGTTGACTAGGCGTGGGCCAGATTGGTGCTTCTCGAGCGATCTCAGTTAAGGCTGGATTGTTAGTGGGAGAGGCCAGATAGATGAGTCTTTCACTTTGATGGCTCTGCTGCTATATCTTCTTCACCTTCCAGGAACGCAGTGGTACAAGTTGTATTCTTTGGATAGGTGAACGATGAAACACAACTGTTGCATTAACCCGAGAACATCGTTTTCTGATTACAGTTAGTAAGCATGGACCAAGGAACTAGTGAACGCATCAGTAGAGTGGTGGAATTATCGTCAGTTCATGGTCGTGGATGTATGTGAGGACAGTACGACAGAAAGGCGAATCATTCCTATGTGGAGACAAAATCTTGCGCACTTGTCTTGAAATTCAACTGGTCCCGTCCTGCTGTCGACTAAAGCTGACTGCCATTTGTGGAAGTAGCAGAGAATAACAACAATCCTCTCACAGCAACAGGAATTGTGATTGTCAAAAGGAATCATGGAGGTCGTTCACACAAGTTGATGTGTACCGTAGATATATCTATATATTCTCTGGCTTCCCTGGACACTGGGGCAGCGGAATCATGTCCTGCATGAGAAAAGGAATTTAGTAGTTAGGTTCTGTTCCTGGCAGCAGGCCACGCAGACTGATGGCACTCCTTGGTCAGGTTGTTACACAATTGTCTGCCGTGGATTTTGTATAACGTTTGGGGCTTGGCTGGTTGAGGTGAAAGCGTGAAGGACATAGTGAAGACGACTAAGCGACTCATGGCACATTGTGAAATTGTAATGAATGGATGTATAAGATAAGGTAAGGTACGGTACGGTACATACATGCACACACCGGTACCGCAACACTTAGTGTAACTAAATACGCGGACAATTGATCGATCGTGATACGCCACCAGCTTACTGGGCCAACAAGCAGCAATGCCGGCGGTGTCGTCGTCAACATAGGTGGGGTTTTGCGGAGCGAATTGGCTGTCATCCTTACCGCCCCGCGCGCCAGCGTGCGCAGACGAAGTTGCAAGTGAGTTGACCGTCAATGTAAGCTGAGAGGTCGCCACCAGCTACAAGGCAAGGCATCGCTATAGCTCTGTGCTCGCTCGGTGAGATGCCGTCGCTTTGCGGCTCGGGGGCCGCGCCGCGACCCACGATGGCCAGAAGCGTGGTGTGGGGTACAAAGTCTAGCTGAGAGCTTTAACCGGTTGGGCATGGAAGAGAAAAGTTTTCCAGCGATGATCAACTCATGCCTAACTGCGTATACTTGCTCAGAGAATCGCTGATGAAAGCGACACATGCTACAGAGATGTGTAGGCATCGTTCAAAGCCGTTACTTCTTGTCATGGGTCGTTACATCTTGCCTGCCATTATGCCAACATGGAAGAAGATCACTCTCATTGTGATGCTAGGAACCCTCGGAGAGAGTCTGAATCTACTGTGACGAGGCGGGAGCATTTCACCCGTCGAGAGTCTGCCGAGTGGAGAGCGTTCGCACCACAGAACCCCGGATTCTGTCGTCCAAGAAAGGGTTGCAATAGAGCCCATCGCGTTTGCTCACACTGACGAACCCCGCAGCGTTTGGCAAGCTCGCAGCAAATCGGTTCTTCCGCTCGGTATCAGGGAGATGGAAACTGAGGTTGCAGGGTGGTTGAGGTGCTGAGCGGATGTCTGAACACCAAGCGAATAATGGCACGCATGCAAGCATGCACGCACGCCCACCCACACGCTATGCTGCATTGCCATCGGATCACTTGCCTGGCTCGTTTTGCTCGCATTCACTACAACGACATTCGACGGCGCTGGGACCATATGTTCACCCCACATGCGGCCTCGAGACTTGCGCACCACCACAATGGCATTCGGTAGATCGAGTGTCCGGTGGGCCGGCGCAGGTGCATATGTAATGGTGGATGAATGGACGCTGCGCATACGACGTGTGAAACTGTGATGTACTGCACTTTGCTGTGCTCAGGGCTAGTCCGTTGCGTCCCTTACTGTCAAAGGGCGAACGAGGTGGAGTCTAGTGGCTGTCCCAAGAGCCCTGCAGGTGCATGCTTTGCACTTTTTCTTGGCTTCGCGCCGCTTCTCGGCTCCTGACCACGCGCTGGCACTTTTAGCCTCGCCTCTGTGCCGGCTGTCCCGGCTGGCTCGTGCCCCACACTGGCCACCCACGCGGACCCAAGACTGCTGGGATGCCATGCAGTCAAGGCAGAGCGGAACGGGACAGCCACCCCCACCCCCCCAAACCCCAAATAGCACCCAGCCAGCAGCCAAAGGAGTTGATAGTGTGGAGATTGCCACCCCCCGAGTCCATCCCATCCATCGGCCCGCCATCATCATCTTCTCCTTCCAACCCACCTGTTTGCCAATCAATTCACCCTGGACCATCTGCTCTTGTCGTCGAACGCCATTGCTTCCGTATCGCACCCCCACCTCCCCCCATCATCGTTGTAGCGGACATTGGCGTGTTCGCATCCTGCCGATTCGACCCACACTCCTGCCCCCACGTTGAACCGCCCGGTCCGCTCGGGAAGTAAGGAGTACATATCGCCTCTGATCTCTTGGTACACCCATCAGCCTCACCCCCTCTTTGTGCAGACCGCAGTCTCGAGCGTAGCAGGTGAGATTTTCCCATCATGACAAACTGCGTTGCCTCCATCGATGCCGGCACCACCTCGGTGCGCTGCATGATCTTCGACGAGACGGCCAAGGTGCTCGCCTCACACCAGCTCGAGTTCGCACAGTACTTCATCCATCCGGGTTGGCACGAGCAGGACGCCCACGAGATTGTCGAGAAGTGCTACCAGTGCATCGAGAGGGCCGTCGCCGACCTTGGCAAGCTCGATGGCGGCAAGTGGAACGTAAAAGTCATCGGCATCACCAACCAGCGCGAGACGACGGTGGTGTGGGACAAGGATACGGGTTTGGCCCTGACCCGCGCGATCGCCTGGCCCGACACGCGCACCGCACACACTGTCCGAGAGCTTGCCAAGAAATCGCCCAAAGGCACTGATGCGGTCAAGGCTGAGACGGGCCTGCCGCTGTCGACGTACTTTGCGGCGGTCAAGTTGCGCTGGATGCTCGACAACTTGCCCGAGGTCAAGAAGGCGCACGATGAAGGCCGCTTGCGCTTCGGAACCATCGACTCGTGGCTGCTGTACAACTTTACCGGCGCCACCGCCGGCCCGGACGGCGGGGTGCACGTGACCGACTCGTCGAACGCATCGCGGACAATGTTCATGGACCTGCGCAAGCAGACATGGGACCAGGCGCTGTGTGACTTTTTTGGCGTCCGCATCGACGTCCTCCCCCGCATCGCTTCGTCTTCTGAGGTGTACGGCCAGATGCGCGGTGGCCCACTCGATGGCGTCGCCATCGGCGGCATCCTCGGCGACCAGATGGCCGCGCTCGTCGGCAACAAGTGCTTCGCTGCCGGCGAGGCCAAGAACACGTACGGCACCGGCGCTTTCCTCTTGTACAATACGGGAACGCACGTTGTCAACAGCGCCAACGGCCTGCTCTCGACCATCGCGTACAAGGCTGGCCCGAATGCGCCAGTGCACTACGCGCTCGAAGGCAGCATCGCCGTCGCCGGCAGCGCTATCAAGTGGGTCCGCGACAGCCTCGGCCTCATCAAGGACGCCAGCGAGATCGGCCCACTCGCCGCGCAGGTTGAAGATGCCGGTGGAGTGTACTTTGTTACCGCATTCAGCGGCCTGTTCTGCCCGTACTGGGACGACAGCGCCGCTGGGACTGTCGTGGTGCGTATGATCACATATTCGCCTTTGTGAATGCTGCATGCTTGCTTGCTGGGTGCTGATGCCCTTTCCACGTTGGGAAACAAAACTCGCAGGGTCTCACGTCATACACGGACCGACGCCACTTCTGCCGCGCGACAATTGAGGCGACGTGCTACCAGACCGAGGCGATCCTCGATGCGATGGCCAAGGACTCGGGGATCCACCTCAAGGCGCTGCAGGTCGACGGGGGTATGACCAACTCGGACGAGGCAATGCAGATCCAGGCCGACATCCTGGGTATCGCCATCGAGCGCCCCGAAATGCGCGAGAGCACGGCGCTCGGCAGCGCCATCATGGCCGGCAGCGCCATCGGCCTCTTCGGTTGGAACGTCAACGAGCCACACACGCTCGACAAGGTCAACCGCGCCGGTAAGCAGCGGTTTGAGCCACGCATCAGTGCGCAAAAGAGGCGCGCCGGCAAAAAAGGCTGGGAGCGCGCTGTGCAGCGCTCCCGCGGCTGGAACGTCAACGAGGACGAGGATGACGGCGGAAAGGAGAACGCGTCCGCGACAGGCGCCGCTAGGGTCGGCGAGAAGGCGGCAATGTAGGCGATGCATTGCAAAGTAGAGCAGACGCCAGGGCAGGTCCTCATGCCAGCAGCGGTCACTTACTCGCATATCCTTTCCATCGTCGCAATCAAGCTCAAGCAGACACCCCTGTAGCATTTTTCAAATTTATGCCTTCATGTCCAAGCAATCGTCAGTTACAGCATCTCATGGTCAGGCTATAGCGCATGATCAGAGGAACATGTATTCCAATGCCTTCGTCGACTTGCTTTGCAAGCGAGAAGAAAGGAGCAGAGCGCCGGTTTGAACACAGGCGCGGAACAGTCTGCTGCCTGCCTCGGGATGATCAGATGTTACGGCTCCGGCTCGTTCGCCACATTGCCCACGCCAGCTTCCAGTCGCGCCCGGCGGCGACGGCTTGCAGCGCCGGGTGGAACGGGTCAAAGTCGTGCTTCTCGAGCTGCTCGAGGTAGTAACGCGCAGGTACCTGTGGACATGTGAGCAGCAGCGGGCGGGCGGCGTTTCAGTTGCGAAAGTTCGTATCTGCGCATAGGTACTGCATAGAATTAGCATGCGCGACGACTCACAGCACCAACTAGCGGGCCAGCCAGCTGCTCCGGCACTGTTCCCCGCCGGAATGAGTCGCGGATCAGCGTCCTGGCCGTAATGAGGTAATCGTTCGCCCTTGTTGCAGTCTCAAACACGGCATCTCTCACGCCCTGCGCTCGCCCGCCATTGCGGTAAACGTCTTCCTCGACAACGCGGTGGGCGAGCAGGTGCTCGTGCGGTAGCATCAACCGTCGCTGCCCGCGCATCATTGACGGGCGGTGCGACGGCGACGGACCGGCTGATGCACTCGCAGTGCTGTCGCCTGGCGAGGCAGTCTGCTGTGGGAGGAAGCCGGCGTGAAAAGGCACAGAGGCGAGCTGCAGCGTCAGACCCGACGCTTTGCCGAGATGCGAGAAGATCTCGTCGGTGCTTCGCGCGTCGTAGCCGAGCAGGTTAAGGGAGAGGTAGTAAAGGCGCGAGGACGTCGCTTCGGCATACTCTTCCATGTCCTCCAGCGTCGGTGGTGTCAGTGGAGCCGCAAGGTCGTCTTCACGTGCACTGATGATCCGTTGGAAATGGTCTTGCACCAATCCGCCCTGCGCGAGGACTGCCGGGTCGTGGATCGCTTCTGCAAGCGCGAGAGCAACAGGGTGCTTTGGTGGGCGTTTCTGAAGGCCCACATTGTCAAACACAGGCCTTCAATCGTTCGAATCAAGTGGAAAAATCGCCCTCACATTGTAGCATCCCCGAATCGCGTCCCTCCACCATCCTATTCGAATGCGGCCCAGTATCTCAGAAGAGACGGTCTCCTTGATCGATGCCAGCTCTGCATTAAAAGCGCGCAGTGCCAGGTAGTGCCGCTGTAGGCGTCTTGGATAAAAGTAGTGCGCCAGGTAGGAAGAGTAGTCTCGCACCGAGACGAACGCTTTCGTCTCTGCCGTTGACGTCACTGCGGCGCCATAATTCGAAGACGGGGATGGAGATGTGCCTTCCGGTCCTCCAGGCGTTGCTGGTGACGCAGCCAAGGTTTTTGAGCTGATTGATCGTTCATAAGGTCTTCGGGCGTGAAGCAGGCAACAACAGCATTCGCTCGCCCGGGTGGGTAAGGGTGCCAGGCGAGACCTGCTCTGTGCAAGCACCGTCGCTCTTGCGGTCGACCAGGCTGTGGTTAACGCGATCGCCATCGCGCTCTCTCTTTTTTTCCTTCGGAGGTTGGAAACTCCGTTGCCGTGAGTCTTGCCGTATTTCCACCTACGGGTGAGGCGCCCAAGGGAAGAGCAATGGCCGAAAACGAATGCCTGACTGTGCAACCACAGTTGGCAAGCACAAGACATCGTTGGGGTTGAGCAAGGAACACAAGAAGATGTCAGTAGTCACCCTTTGACAATATGACGGCATTGTTCAACATTTGATGCTGCTTGTGCATGAAGTAGGGTTGTTCCCTTCACCTTCTGACCGCTCACACCCAGAGACGCATCGGGAGTCGAGAGAGCAAGCCATGGTGGCTTTCAATCGAATACTTCGCAATGGGGGATTGCGACGGAAGAATGGCCTTCGCGAGGTCCTGCTCGGCTGTCGGTCCATGGCGCGAGATGCTGCAACAGTGCTGTGCCCAGCGAAACCCCTGTCTGATGTGAACAGCATGGACGCGACAATGGGAATGCCAAATTTTACCGTGATGCACGGCCCGCCCAGCTGACCCGTCCAACGTCTGTCGGCCGCCTGGAGCGAAGAAGCATAATCATCGCACGCTACGCATTTGCCACCATGGTGCGGCGAGTGTCTTCGCGTGTTCCGACTGGCCCGCTGCGCATGGCAACGCGCTCAGGTCAAACGGCACGAGGCCGCCCTTCCAAGAGGGAAACGTCTCCTCCGCAGCCGGACAATGAAGTTGCCGCAGACGCAAAGGAGACAAAGGCTGCGCTCAAACACCCTTTTACTTCGTCGCCAGAGCCAGCGCCGCTTCCAATCCCAGTTTCAGTTCCAGCTCCAGCACCAACACCCGCACTTAGTGTCTCGCGACCAAAGGCATCCACATTGAAGCTGTCGACACGCAAGGGAAAGGAGCGCGCGATCGAGCCAACCCCGTCGCAGGAAAGCGTCGGCGGGTTCGATTCTAGTCAACGAAGCGTACATTTTAGTCAGAATGTCGTAGACACGGATGATCAGCGGCTGCAGCTGCAGGCGACCTCGGCCGCAGCCTGTCTGGCGGCACCAAGCGGCATGCCAGCGGCAGCAGAAATCGGGGGTAGTCACGCTGCGCCCCATCCCGATGCTGGCGGCGCACCCCCACCGAAGAGAACACGTATCAACTTCGAAGACAAGCTCAGAGCAGACACTGCTGCTGCCCGAGCTGCGTCTGCCACTGTTTCCACATCAGACAGCCTCCACGCCGACTCCCGAACGCCAGCATTGGCCGCTCTGTCGGGTACTTTACCGCATCGTGGTCCCGGGGTGTCCGGCCCATCCGAATCGATGCTCCGGCGTAGCTCGGCGGATCACTATTTCGAAGCCTTCGCCGCGTCGTCTGCATCACGCAAGAAGAAGCGTGTTACCTCCGACGCGCTCATCAGCGAACTGCTACCAGATCTGACGACGGAGATGGTCGCAGAGCTATACGACCTGCCAACAATTGACCAGCCCAAGGCATCAGTTGCATCTGCCTCAGTTGCGCAGCATGCCACAGCGCGGGTCGGTGGCAGAAAAGAGCCAGGCAGCTCTTTGACAGGCAGCGGAGCGGGGAGCGCATTCAACACGCAGGTGCTCGAAGAGTTCAATATCAACATCCATCGACGCACGAGCTATGCAGAGTGGACGCTTTTGCTTAGCCAAGGGTTCAAGCTGCTCTTCCACGGCGTCGGCTCCCCCGAGGCAGTCCTGCAGGATTACGTAGAGCAAAGAGCGCGGGGGGCGTACGGTACTGCGGTCGTCGTACGAGGCTACATGCCGGGCCTGCGAATAGAGAAGCTGCTGGAAGCGGCTGAGTCAGCTACGGCGCAAGCTGGGGAGCAAATCTGGGACGAATCATCCGACGAAGAGACTGGCGGCGAGAAAGCAAATGGCGAGGATGAGCAAGCCGTGCGGCTGGAGGAAGATGACCAGTCGGTCAAGCATGCCAACCATCTTGAGGCGAGGGCGCATCGATTACGCCAGAAGTACACCCCTGTTCGCAGGTCCAAGCGTAAACTTCTACCGGAATCGAAGATACAGACCGGAACCAGGACGGAGTCGCTACCGCCTCTCTATCTGCTCCTCATCGGGGTCGATAACAAGACCTGGCTGTCCTCACGTGCGCAACGCGTCCTTGCGATCTTGGCGCGAGCTCCACGCATCTACCTGCTCGCGACTGCTTCACACATCAATTCCGGCCTGCTCTTGCTCGGTGGGAGCTCTGGCGATGCGTCTGAGGGCGGCGTGACGGCAATCCCCTGGCTATGGCAGGACCTCAACACGTTTGTACCACCCATTGACGAAATGCTCGTCTCATCCAGCAACATGGCGCACAAGGGTATTTCGCTGCCACGCGCGTTGTCGCTGCATCTGTACTCGCACGCAGGAAGAGCAGGCGCAGAGAACTTTCCCCACGGCGCACCCTCGTCTGCGTCTACCCCTGCCGCTGCAGGGTTAGCGGGTCGCGCTGGCGCAGACCACCATGGTGCGGACGACGAGGAGCTCAATGTGGAGTTCTCGCCTCATGGCGCGATCAGCATCCTACAGAGTGTCACAGTCAGGGCCAAAAAGCTGTTCCGGCTGATCGCCAGCATGCAAGTTCACCTGGACGAAGGCGGAGACAGAGGTGAGGGGGGAGCCTGCATCCAACCTCCAGCGCCGCGGCCCGTGCTATTTTCTGAGGTCCTCGATCGCGCGATGCGGGACTATACCGCGACATCCGATGATCAGATGCGCTCGCTCCTGCCGGAATACACTAGTCATTCGCTCCTGCGCATCGTTAAGTGGTCCGACGCCAACCCTCAGTTGCGCTCGCTGCAGCCAGGGAAAGAGTACCTCTGGATCAACATGTCGCGACAGAACATTCTGCATGTACTCTCGCAGTTGGAGCAACTCGTCCAGTAAGGAGATGTCGATGAAGCTATACCTTCGTCTCCCAATGCCAGGTTTCATTGTCCGTGCCCGTACTCTTGGAAAGATATCCGTAAAATACAATTTTAGATTCGTTGCAGACCCAATTCCAATGAAAGAGAACAAATGTCCTTGTAGATGATAGAAGTGGTTTGGGAGGTATGCGAAGATAGCGCGCGAGCCTCAATGTTGAGGGGAGCGAGAAGAAGAAAGGTGATGCTGCTCAAGGCAAGAAGCCAGCGACCACAGCACCGCCGACGACGGAAACGGCCATGGCGATCCACAGCCTGCCATCGGTCGGAATGCACAAGCTGGGCAATGCGCCGCTCGAGCTACCCTTGGAGGTCGCGCCAAGCCTGTTGCCGCGGCTGCCATTGCTGTTGACGATGATGCTCGGGTTGTCTGTTCCATATGGCTCGAACGTCTGTGTCGGCACGGCTGCTTTCTCCGTCACGTCGGGCGTGAGGAAGACGAGCGCTACACCCGGCGCAGGTACCTGCACAGGGCACTGGCCATCGTTGCACGCAGCCGTCTTGATGTTCTCGGCTCCTTGTAGGACACCGTCGCTCCAGTAGCCAAATGTTTGGTTGGCCCAAGTCTGGCATGGAAGAACGGGTACGCTCTATGTTCAATACTGTAGCGATCGCAGATGGCAAGTTCAATGAAACTCACAATCCCATCAAGCGAATCAACACTTTGTGCGGCGAGGAGCTTGTAGCTGACAGTCGTCTGCCCGCTCTGGGCGGGTATGTTGGCTGTCCAGGTGTTGGCACCGGAAGCGTCGTTGATCATGTTGATAAGCACGACCTTTTTGGCGACGGTATTCTCGAAGATGGCATATGCCGACGCGTCATCCCGGTCCACTTGTAAGTCGAGCACCTGGCTGCTGTTCGTCTGACTCGCCAGCGCTTCGGCGACGACGAGGCTCGAGTAGTAGATCGGGCCCGTCTTCCAGCTCTTGGTGGTGGCGTTGTACGCAGGCGGCGTGAAGACGTTATAGATCGTGTTGATACCGGACGTGTGCCAGAATACACCCGTGTGGTTGCGGTAGGCGAGCTGCAGTGCCGCGTCAACACCCCAAATGGCACTCGTGAAGGCGTTCGAGACGCCATTAATACCGATACACGATGCCGTGTTTGTCTCGACTAGGTAGTATGGAATCTGGTTGGCGACCGCTGCTGCGATGGCATCTGCGTCATACTGGGCAAAAGTGACTGTATTGGTGTGGTTCAAGTAGAACTCATGGCCCTGTACCCCATTACTAGAGCACAGCGATTGCGGGTCTGGGGTTGACACCGTTGTTCCACACCCGTTGAGTCAGCATTGCCGGTGTCACAGATCAAGTAGTCGCTCTTCCTGTAACTCACACTGAATGGCACTGATTGCCTTCAGCCGGTCTTTGAATCGCTCGCGCATGCCGTTCTCCTCGGTGATGCTGAAGGTAGTCCATCCGCAGCATACGTTGGGAGCGGTGAAGAGTTTCGGCTGTATCAAGTCGCCCATGACCCTGCCGGTGAGGTCACCCCACTCATCGAGATAGGTCGGGATGTCGTAGTCGGAGGGTCTGTTTCCGGTCTGCGGGTACCGATCTGGTTCGTTACCGACGAGGATGAGGTCTACATGGTCTGAAATGTAGCGGTTCAGCGTCTTGACCATCAGCTCGGTGAAGCTGGCGGTGTGGTTGACCATGTTGAGACCCCAGACGAAATGTGTGTTGAGCTTCTGAGCAAGGGATTGCATTGCCTGGAAAACTAGGTCATTGTATTCGATTGAAGGAGTGACAGGCACTCCTTTGTCTGTGTAGCCATGGTCAGAGACTTTGACGATCATATCCGTTGAAACGGTGGAGGTGGCGTTGTAGATGGCCGTGTCCTGCGTGTTGCCACCGATACGGAGAATGGGGCCCATACCAGAACGGGTGGCCAGCGCAGAGATGTAGTTCAAGAATGAAATGTTTAGTTTTTGGGATGTCTTGCCGATGATCTCGTCCACGACGGATAGCTCGATGGAAAGACCAAGGAAGTTGCCGAGGACAGGGATACCAGGGTAGATCGGCGCATCACCTTGACCATAAGCGAGGTTCAGCTGCGTTGTCCCAATCGCTGCACTTGGAGGAGAAGGGACAGGGTACGCAGTGCTATCGAGGGCGGGGATAGGTGGCCCTGTCGCATTGGCGCTGGTCGGCGTAGCCGGGGCGGCAATGATTTGCAGAGAAGGCGCGGCAAGGGGGATCTGTTGGGCTGCTGTACCGCTCCTCCATGTTGACGATGTTGCGAGCAGAGCAGTAGCCATGGATGTGAGTGAGAAGCGTGATCGCAACCGCCGTCGAATTGACCGGCTCTCTATTGATCGTCGTCCATGACGCTGCGGGTACTGGGATCGGAGAGCCATGGTGGCTGGTAACATGTGTTCGATACCTAACGAGTTGCAACGCGTGTCGATCTAAGGTGACTTGGATACGCTTCCTGGCGTTTGACGTTCGAGCAGTGCTTCTATTCTGCGAGCAAAACGCTGCGAGCCCACGGAGCAGACCGAAGATGATCAACTCGTGTACGATAGATAATGCGAGCCTCTATTGCCGACGAAATATTGTGTAGCTTGGCTTGTGGAGGATCGTGGTGAAGTCACCCAGTTCGATTCATTTCAGGATCACTCCTGTCGATATTTTCGATACTTGCTGTGGGTACCGAGATGGAATCCCCGGAATTTGAAGCACAGGAGGTGTTGCCGTAATGCCGAAGCCCCCGGAATAAAGCTGGTAGGGGCGGAACCGCGGAGTCGATCATTTTTTTTTGAAATGCGGATCATTTCTGGATGCTGTGAGGCTCAAAAAAACACTCTTTCTGGAGGCAACTCTCTGCAAGACATGTGGGTAGGATGAATGACGGCACCCACCGGCAAATAGCATGCACAAGCGTGGGAAGGTCACGTTCTGAGTTGTGCAGTGTGTCCTGAGTAGCGCGGACAGAAGCGACGCAGCGAACGGGAAGTGTGCGTAGAAGCGATCGACGATGCTCCTGTTCTGTCCAAATTGCGCCAACGCGCTGACAATCAAGAAAGGCAACGAGTTCGAGAACCGCTGGGCATGTCAGACGTGTCCGTACGAGTACCCGATCAAGCGGCAGCTGCTCGAACGCAAGCGTCTGCCGCGCAAGAAGGTCGACGATGTCATGGGCGGCGAGGACAGCTGGAAGAACGTCGATAGCACCGAGGCTGTCTGCCCCAAATGCGAGCATGGCCGGGCGTACTTTATGCAGATCCAGATTCGCAGTGCTGACGAGCCAAGTGAGCACAGACCGAAGACCTTTCTCTTCATGCATTATGGGAGGACTGACAGACGGCATCATTCCTCCCTTCCCTTTTTCGCCAGTGACAACGTTTTACAAGTGCTGCAGCTGCGGAGAACAATGGCGTGAAAACTAAGTGGGCTATTGCCTCTTGGCCCCGTTAGCTTGTCTTCGCCATATCCACCTTTCGCCTACTCGTTTTCTCCCTGCTGCAGGCAGTGTGAGCAAGATACTAGACGAACTTTGCTGTGCAGAACGCATTCTCGCCACTACGCGTAGCAAGCAAACCCGGCTGGTCGCTGCAAGTCATGCCACAAGAGTCTGCCCCCAACGGCTCCCCGGTTGGACCCTCCCCTTTTGGTATGCACTCAATCCTTCCACATAATATGGGATATGGACGTGCGGGTACTCTTCACCCTCAAGCCCTCCCCACGCATCCGCCCCGGCGCACATCTATTGCGCAGAAAAAAGGCAGGCCACGTTGCGTCAGATGCGCCACATGCGATTCCATACATGGCACCGAGCAGCCAGGCAAGCGATGCCATTGCGCCCTGAAGACATTCTGTCGCTGCCGATGGCCAGGGTGTGTAACAAACGCCTTGATGCGACCTCATCAGACGGCTTTCTGCACACGAGCGGCCCCCTTCTCGAATCAGCATTTCTCCCAATCAGCAATTCTCCCTTAGGCGTGGACGCCGCCGAATAGTCTCGCGCCTGCCATGGAGAGTTCGTTTGTGGAACGGCTGCTTCTAGCAATCTTGGTCATCTCTTTGACAGCGGCTACATCCGCTCTCGCTCTGGTCGCAATCAGCATATACTTGATCATACAGGCGGCTCTGCTCCGCTACCATGCATCCGCTGAAAGCTAGAAGGATCTCCTATGTCCAAAGCATGTAGATCCAACATCAAACACAAAAGGGCACGGTATGCTTCATTTTGTTTGCTTGCACTCGAGAACCATCTGCTTCTCGTAGACATTCATCCTGCGTGAAGCGTAGACGCAAGCGGAAGTATGCGCACGCGTGAGAAACAATCTCTCGTCCACACATTTCTGTTCCACTCTCTTTCATCGTGTCTCTTGCTCTCGGCCGATGCTTCCTCTCCTTCTCTTCTGTGAATCGAATGGAATTCGCTCTGCTCTCCTGTTAAGTATGCGAACCAGATGGGGCGATGAGCTATCTGGCTGGGTGGTGCGACTGCTGTATGAAAAGTCGCATGCAGAGGGAGTGCGGAATGATGCCGACGACATGACGTGTGGTGGACTCGGCATTTACCAGATGGTAAAGCCTCCATCAGGGCTGTTATGAAAATGAAGTTGGTCAGCAACCCCACAAATCAGAAAGTTGGCACATGTCCTTTCCGCGTTACAACTCACCGCAAGATGGTACCCGTAATGTAGCTGGCCTTGTCGCTGAGTAGCATTACAGCGGGCTCGGCCTGCTCGTGGGGTTCCGAGAAGCGCTTGAGAGGGATGCTGCTCGCTTGGTAGTCGCGCACGTTGGCATCCATACCGCTCGTCTGCTCCGTGTTGCAGAACCCAGGCTCGAGCGCGTTGACGCGGATGCCCAGCGGCGCCCACTCGGCCGCAAGGCACTTGACCATATTGCTGACGGCGCCTTTGGACGAGTTGTAGAACACTTGCGTCAACGGCACGTTCGGCGCCGATTGGTTGTATATTTCCGACGACATGCTCGACGTGACGACGATGCTGCCCTTCTTGTAGCCGACCGCCTTCCAGTGCTTTGCCACTGCCTGGCAGGTGTTGAAGACACCAAAGACATTGGTGTTGTACACGTAGTCGTAGTCCGCTTTGCTCAGCTCAAGCGCCGGTTTCACGACACTGACGCCAGCGTTGGCCATGAGGCCGACGATTGGCGTGCCGAGGTCCTTGGCGGCCGCCTCGATCGTCTTGAGCACCAGCTCCTGGTCGCCAACATCGCACTTGTACGCCTTCACCTTGGTCCCGAACTTCTCCGCCACCTTTGCCGCCGACTTCTCGGCCTCCGGGTGAGAGCGGTAGAGGATGGCGACATTAGCGCCAGCGTTGGCGACTGCTTCAGACATAGCGAGACCAATGCCACGATTACCGCCTGTGACGACAACGGTGCCGCCGGAGAGATCAATGGTGTATGGCATTTTGGCTGAGCGAGTGGGGGATGAATCTTGTTTGTACGTCACACGACCGAGAAGGCGGAGGATACGTGTAGCACGAGAGAGAGTATGGAATTGCGCATGTGACAGGGGTAGGAGCCCCGCCGCGACAGGTATCGATGCAAGATAACACGATCAGCACCAGCCGCAAAGGTCATCAAGCCCAAGCGCCGGCCGCGTTGTCGCAGTGCACTTACCCAAGATGAAGCACTGGTGGCTAGATTATCAACGATGGCAAACAAGCAGGTGCTGGGTGGCAGAAGAAGCGATCGTTCTCGAGGACGCTTATACTGGTGTAGAATCGTGCTTGCTGGTGGTTGCCATGCACGGTTGCCGTCAAAGAGTTAGGGGGGATGGATGGATGGAGGGAGTGGGAGTGGTAATGGAATGCACAAGGTGGTATGGAATGCGATGGAACGTCTATCTCCCGATGCAAAGGCGATGAGAGAGATGTTCATGAAGAGAGGGTCTTGTGAGCGACAGCGCCGTGGGGCAGTTCCAGCTTGTTTCCCCCTCTGACAGTGAGCCCAGCTACTCTCATTGGGCGTGCAACTAGAGACTACGCCCGGCGCCGCGCGCAACATAGTGCAACAGGAACCATCCATCATGTTCCATCGATGACAGTGAGCTGCACATGGTGGCCCGAGCGTCAGAGTGCAAATACGAAATGTCTGAGACCGATTCAACTGTGCCTGTATGGAGTGCATGTATCTCATCTTTTCCAGCGGTTTGGAAGCTGGTGACGCTTACTTGCATAACCCGGTCACATCTCTTTGCAAGCCATGAGAGTTTCGCATCGCACAGTTCCGGGCCGGCTTCTGTCAGCCGTCCGTCCCTTATGACACATTCGGCACCTCATCTCTCTTGGGCCGCACAAGCCACCCATTCAAGCACCAGTCTTCTGTACACCTCGCTTGTCAGCAGATGCTGGGGCCTGGGCTCGCCTGGCGCCAGGCGGCAGCTAGACCTGCTCCAGCAGGGTCAGGTGATTGAAGCTGTGCGATCATGCTACTGTTGTGTAAGATAAGAATGCTCAGCCGCCACAAGGCTCGGCAAGCTGTATATGCTCGTCCCGTTATGCCTGGACCAGCTCACTGTGCCGGGTTGGTGCGCAACGGGACGTTGACCGGGCAGTCCGGAGACGGAGAAGGTGGAGTGGGGGGGGGGGCACATGGGCGGTGACGAAGTGTTCAGTGCGCCGTGCCAGAACAAACACGCAGTTGACTTCCACGTTTGGGGCGAATGCACTGGACCGCAGTCAGTCGCGTTGTCGGAGCGGGCAGGATGGCTGCGCGCACAGATCTGTGCGGCCCGTCATCTCACACCAGGCTTACGGGATGGCGGACTGCATTGCCATCGAAGTACGAACATAAACACGAGACCAGTGGCTGGGCCTCACGCCTTGGCGACGAACTTGTCGCCCTTGGTCTCTGCCAATCTTCGCTCGTGCTCCATCGCCTCTTGGAGCTCCTGCAGCATCATCTGCTGTCCTTCCTTCCCGAGCGGCTGCAGCGGTCTGCGTGGTACGCCCATGTCATAGAACCAGTGCCCCAGCGCCCACTTGCTCCCCGCGATGCCTGCTTTCGCCATGCACCAGTCAGCGCGCCCTACGAGCTCCTGCAGCTTCTGCGCTTGCTCGAGCTTGCCAAAGTCTTTCTCGCGAAATGCAGCGTCGATCAGCATGTACAGCTCGACGAGCGTGTGCGGGAACAGGTTGCCCGTCCCCGCGATCACGCCCGTCATGCCGATCGTCATGGCGGGCAACAGAACGTCCGCAAAGCCTGGCCAGACGTGCCACACAGGCTTGGCGTGCGCAGCGGCCTGCGCTTGGAGAGCAGAGACGAGCCGCGCACCTTTGCCAATCTGCGAGCAGGTCAGCTTGCCGCCGATCACGTTCGGGTGCTCGGCGATCGAGCAGAGTAGGTCGCTGTCCATGTCAATCCCTGCCGCAGCTGCAGGGAAGTTGTACAGCATCACTGGTACTGGCGAGGCCGAGGCCACTTCGCTGCAGGCAGCGAGAATGTGTGTGTTTATGTGTTAAAACGAGAGCGTGTCAGCTGAGCACTTTTTGCCTTGGCCAACTGCCTTAGAGAACGCACGTAAAGTACTCCTTGAGCGCATGTTGGTTCTTGCCGATCGCAGCGCTAAAGTATCCTGGAGCAATGACAAGCACTGCGTCTGCGCCCGCCTGCGCCGCATCCTTGGTCAGCGTGATGGTCTCTTTGAGCGAGCCCGTGCCCGTGCCCGCGATGATCGGCGTCGTCGGGAGCAGCTTGCGAACCGTGCTGATGACTTGCTGCCGTTCTTCGCGGGTCATATGCGAGGCTGCGAGCGAGCATCAACCAACATGGAGAGTGTCAGCGTCTACTTCGAGGTATCTACTAGCACAGCAACAATCCAACCAAATGTCATATGCACCTTCGCCATTCGTGCCCATCAGCACGATGCCACAGCCGGCCGAAGCGAGACGCCCACAGTGCTTCTGTAACGTGGGCAGGTCCAGTTCTTCGCCTTGTTCCTTGGAGAGAAACGGTGTCACGATCGGCACGTAGATGCCGCCGGGGACGTTGGGTTGTGACGTGCTGCTACCATTGGTGTGGTGTGTCGAACTGGCACTGCCGTTGCCGTTCAGGGGGGAAGCGGTGGGAGCCATAGTATTTGTAACTTATGAGGAAGGCCGAGCTGGTCGGGGTAGCGTGAAACAACGGGTGGGAGGTTGGCTGAGATGGGGAGCTAAGTCGCGTCGGTCAACGTCAGCAAAAGATGCAAAGGTGGGACGCAGGGAATTCAGATAAGGATGCAAAGGGAGAAAAGGTAAGGAAGAGGAAGATGCTCACGGCTACGGGAACTTCTCTTTATAGTATTTCTCGTAGTAGGGACAAACCGAGTCCAAGACCGATCCCCCCGCCCCAACTAGTCGCTAGTGGTGGGTGGCCAAAGTACGGCGACTGAATTAGCCAACAAAGTCCAAAAGGCTTGCCCACCTTGGGTGTATATCTCTTTGGCTTTGGGGGAGGGCGTGGGGTATCGCCATCGGGTGGATCGCTCTGTGACGCTCTCGCAAGGGTCTCCGTTGCACCGGGGCCGTCAGGGCAGCGGACAATGAGAGTCTACAAACCCATAGAACGATCAAAGAGGGATGAAGCTTGAATCCTGGATGCGAACCCACAGGCGAAAAGTGCGTCCGAATACCGAAAGGCGTCCCCCCAATTCGACCATGCGAAGGAGAGTCTGAGTTTACATGAGCGTGGGGGAGAGTTAGCCCTGGAGCGTTAGGCACTGCAGCAGTGCTGAAGCGCCTCTCGCCTTTACAGGCGGGACGCTGCCTCCCCCCTCCCCCCGCGTCTTCACCCCGGACTGGTCTGCTGCGAGGGCAAGCTAGTTTTTTGCTTCCTTCTCTTTGGCTCCTCCGTTGTCTTGAATCCGGTGTATTGCATACATCGTCACTTCTTTCCTCCATGGAGCGTCGTGAGGTTGGGACTGGGGAGCACGAGAGCGGTTATGTACGAGCAGTTCCATTCCTCTATGCATTATGGTGGTCCTGCACGAATCTACATCGCTTTGACATTCTTTTCCCCTCCTGATAAACCTGGATCACTGCAGTTGCACTCGTGGATCTTGCTTCTTGCTCGCAGCATTGCAGTCGATGTCGATGTCGAGACTCGGGACCTTTGCCCACTCGACTTCAGTTAAATAATAGCCTTCTGGATCTACGCTTCGGAGTCGAGAGCTCTCACGAACGTCGTGCCTCGATTCTCTACTCTGTACCACTCAATTCAGGACTGAGCAGTCTCCCCTCACCGACCTCTCATATTGGCTAGCACTCCGCATGGAGGAGTTCTTGAGGAGATTGGACAATGCAGTGACATGGTTTATGAGCTCCTTGAAAGTCGATGTGCCGATGGTTTTCGGTTTGAGTTGGTATCCGATATCGAATGCTGGTCAGTGCTGGCCGCGGGTAGGCAGGTAAGACGGCACCTAGCAAGCACTTATGCACTCCTTCAACCCATCATCCAGTGGGCTCATTAAGCGGCTGAATGGCACTGTCTTGCTTGTTGTCTTTTTTCGCTGACTAGAACTGGAATGCATCTGAGAAGGCTTTTCGGGATACTGACTCGGTTGTAGCCTGTAAACCAGCGCGATGCGGGCCAGCAAATAGCAGGATACAAGTCCATGGAACTTTGTTGCACTTTTTGCACCCCGTCAACAGCCACAATTGGGACGGCCTGTGTAAGCACGTATTTTGATGCATGCAGAGGCCGGTGACAGGTCGGGATTTGTGGGGACTGAAGAGGTAATTTCGCTTTTCGGGGTGCATCAACAAATGTACAGAGCTAAGAGCGTATGCGACATCCCTCGTACAGGCAACCTTGGCCCGGTCATTAGGAAAGTCTGTATAGAGTTCCATATCTCCATACATGAACTAAAACCCATGCGTGAGCGCAAATTATGCGATTTTGTATGCCGAACTCTCTGTGCGCTGGATCTTGTCTGCATTCAGGTCCTAGCACATCAGTACGTCACGCCACCTAATAACCACCCTGAACTACGCGCGATACGACGATCATGAGACAGATAACGAGGGTGACGCAGTGATGGACGACTATATGATGGATTGGGAGACTTTCTGGCTGATATATGCATGTCGTCACAATTCACACGTTACATGACTGCATGTGCAGCTGAGCCCAAGCTGCATCTGAGGCTCTGGGACCTGGGCCCAGCGGACGGCGTCCCCTCTCGTCTCTGTCACGATTGATATTCTCCAGCTGCCCGTGGCTCAGACTCTGGAGAGTGAAGAGGACTGACACTCACCAATCGGCCAATCGGTCAATCCTATTTGACCCAGCGCGCGGGTCTCTTCTATGCTCCAGGAAATGGAAGAATCGCATGCCTTGGAGACGAAGAAGGAGTGGTCGAGTGTCGCTGTCTCTCTGTGTTTCTTCGTGCCCTTTCTACTTGCTCCTTCTGACTTCTATTGCTCCACTAACTGGACTTTTGGGATGTTGGAGCGGTGCTCGATCTTTCTCATCGAGTAAGATTGCCAGCGTCTTGGAAGAGAAAAAAAAGTATGTACCTGGCGAGGCAAGTACCTATTTGTGTTGCGTGGCGCCCCTCATTTGGAGAAGCAAAAGCGCCTTTTCGCTGCCTTGTCACTGCTGCATTTTTCACTTTCGTTTCCCTCGGCGTCGCCGAGGGACGACTTCGAATTTCGCGGCACTGCGCCCTTCCGCCCTTGTTCGGGCACGGGACCGCACTGCGCACGGCTCCACTCTGTCAGCTATGGACACCGCCACCGCGTACGTACATCAACACAAGTACAACAGCCAAGGACACAGCCAATCAAGAGTCAAATGCACAGCATGCACACGAGCATGAGCACGACACAAGGCGAACCACCGTACGCAACGTGTATCGTATATGCCTCATCCGCATGGCCTCATCGATGCTGAGCGTTGAGAGGCAAACAACAGTGTCGTACATGCGTAGCGCTGTCTGCCATCCCATCCCGTTACATCACATCACACCCCCCCTGGCGCTCACCGCTCTCAGACTTCACCTGGCATCACCCGCTTCTTGCCGGAGCAGCCCAAACGACTTAAGTGTCGCCGATCAGCCTCGTTGACTCCACGCCTTTTCACCTCTACCCGACCTTTTTGTCGTTGGTGGCATCCGGCAAGGGGGACATTCTTCGCCTGCATCCCCATCCATGGTACATGCCGGCATTTGCAAAGCAAGCATCCAGATGTATGCATCGCGCGTGACAGCCACGTCGACTTGACGAGCGGCCGACCGGGGACGCCAACGCGAACGAGGCTCAGCACCTATCCATCCCCTCTCTGGCGCCAACCCTTCGGAAGACTTCATCCTTCCCATTTAATTATCTCGCTTCAGGAAGCATTTCGCACCGAATCACACTGTGCACTGGGGAGCAAAGCTCAAAGGTCGGGCGCTCGGACTGCATACACTGCTCTGCAAGCGCTGAGGGCCTGGGTGCGCAGTGCTCATATTCTGTCGAGTGTCGACAGCAGTGAACGTATACCCGCATCTGATCTTCTCTGCACCATCCCGCGCCGGCTTGGAATTTTCATTTGCACAGCATGATGAGATTGGATTCTTCCGCGTAAAAGTACATCCGTTTGCTCGATTCGCCTTTCCCATCCACCACAACCGAAGCGAAGTCCGGCTCGGGCTACTTGCTCGCGACGGGATAAAACGCGCATCACAAATGCCAAAGGAACTCAACCACGGCAGACCGCGCCTCGGTAGTCGACTGCACAGCATGCCCATTTTTCGCAAGGACAGAAAGGCTTCTGCTTCCGCCGGCTCGTCGATGCCGACAACTCACTCGGGCCCGCTCCTTTCGCCAGAGATGCACAAAGAATACATCTACCCCGATCCACAGCCCGGCCTCGGAATCAACCTACCGGCTCACTACAAGATAAGCGTTGCTGCAACTGGAGCCTCCAGCAGCAATGGCCATGGCAATGGCACGCTGGACAGTCGGTATGTAGGCGGGAGCGTCGGAGCCGCAGGTGGATACCCATCGCCCGCCTTATCGCAGGGCAGCGCATTTGACAGCCCGAATGGCAGCGCCAACGGTGGCAGCGGTACCTTTAGCTCCGCTTCGCTGCGCTCGGCCGGGCATTATACTGGTTATCCCACTATGCATGGCGAGTTGGGCGGGGGAGCAGGACCTGCAGGAATGACAGCAGCAGGAATGGGATGTAGGCCATGGAAGAGCAAGTTGGAGCGCTTGACTGGCGAAGACGTACCTTTGTCTACGCCCAGCGTCATTATCTCGCGTGCAACCACTTCAAATACTACTGCTGGAAGATCGCAGTCGCATGCCGACCCTATCGGCACATCGTCCAACACTACCGCTTCCGACACGCTGTACAACGACTATGCCGGTGCAGGGGCGTCGTATCCATCGACCCGTATCGCACATGCGCATGCACCTACCGGCTCGCTCAGCTCCGGCTCCGCGGATGGTTCGACGCTGCATGGTGGCGTTGGCGGCGGCGCACTGATGTTCCAATACCCCGGAACAGCCATGAGCGGCAACAGCCGGTACTGCTCAAACGGTATGCCGGTTCACCACCTCTCCTCGGTGCTCGACACGTCCGCTGAGGAGCCCGACTGCCCAGTGTGCCTCGAGCCGCTGTCGCACCGTCTGGCAGGCGAGAAGCCGCACGTCGTACCACAATGCGGACACGCGCTGCATAACGCCTGTTTCACGGCCGTGTACGGCAGCCCCGATTCGGTGCTCGCGGCGCAGAAGCGACATGCGCTGCTCAGCGCTGCGCAGCACGCCGGCGGCACTCCCGCCACCACCGGAGGAGAGGCAAGGCAGGACTACCAGATGAGCCAGGCGCCAGGCATGTGCGGTGTCTGCAGGAGGGCCATCATACTCGGCGGTGACAAAAAGCAGAGCGAGAAGCGCGTGGCGAGTGAGTATATGCTGTGGCTTGGCTTTTCCGAGTTGAAAACAAGTGATCTCGACGCGCTGACTGTTTGTTATGCCTACATTGCGTGTAACAGAGGCGACGGGTATAATGGGTGCTGGTGGTATGGGTGACATGTTCGACTCGACCCAGCAGCGCGAAGACCCGTCTGGCTCTGGTGTGTTAATGCGCGATGACAAAATCGAGCTGCCCCAGCGCCTGTACCACCATGCTCCTGGCATATCCAGCTCACGCGGCATGGTCGTCCCCGTCATCCGCGCACGCCCCGAGTACGCCACCATCTACCGCCGCGACCCGACGGGAACGAACACCAAGCAGAACGTCGTCTGCGTCATCTCGGTCGAGGTGCCGAGCCGCCGGCCGGTGCCGCTGCCTTCGCCTGCTCCAACAGCGACGGCCGTGGACGGGTATGGATATTTTGCTCATCATCATCATCAGCAACAGCAGCAGCAGCAGCATCTTGGCACCATCCCGGATGGAGAAGACGAGGATTACGGGAATGCACGCGAAATGGCGTCGGCGGGAGGGTCGATGTATATATCCGCGCGCCGCGCGCCGAGCACAAGAAGCCGGGCAAACACGATCGACACGCAGGACTCGGAGCGCGACCGTGACCGCGACCGCGTCCTGACTACCGCGGGCGCTGATCCGCTGCCGGGTGTGGCCGAGGAAGGGCAGAACCAGCACCACCCGCGGCAGCCCAAGCAGACGCCTTCGCAGAACGGGCATGCGGCGGATACAAACGGGAAAGGAGCAGCGTCAGGTGCAGAGGAGGAAGAAGCCGGCTTTTCGTTTGGCGCGACGCCCTCTGCCAACGAAGCGAAGAGCGACCCGTATCGAGCGGTGACAGTGGACCTGCGGGCGCGCATCCTGGATTGGAAAGGTCACACACTCGAGCACTTTGGTCCGCTGCACCTGTACGACACGCTTAATGTGCGCCAGGACACTATCGTGCGCGAGTTCTACGTCTACCTCTTCCAGGAGGCGCTGCTCTGTGTCACTGAGGAGCGCAAACGTGGACTCAGCAAGCTCGTCGCCGCCACCGTTGCCGTGACAGGCAATGAGGACGCCGCCAAGCCGGGGCTGAAGCTCAAGGGCCGCATCTATCTGCGCCACATCAAGCGTGTTAGCGAGAGCTCTGTGGCGGGAGAGGCCAGCCTCAGCATCAAGATGGACGATGACCATCTCGACCAGTTTGTCCTCTGCTTCAACACCGAGGCGCAGGCGACTGCGTGGAGGCACAAACTCGATGAACTTGTCGACTTCATACAAACCCCCGAGAAAGCCCTCTCCGTTCCGCCCAGGCCTGGGCTGCATCCCACAATTAGCGAGCAGGCGAAGAGGGTGCCGAGCCCGGGAGCGGCCAACCAAGACGCTCTCAATCATGGCGACGCCGCGTCCATTGGGCACAGTCGCAAGAGCGTAGGCAGCAGCGGCGCTGGCAAGCACACGTCTATCATCAGTGGGAGAGCGGGCTCGGCGGGCGATGCTGCGTCCATCGCCGAGTCAACAGGCACGCGCAGGAGCATGCGCAGAGCAACCGTACGGAGCGATACCAACAACAGCAGCAGCAACAGTTGTCGATCGAGCGTCGTCACAGGGCCACGGCTACCAATTGTGCCCCTCCACCAGCAGTGGTCTGCATCCGGCGGACACGACCCGAGCAAGGAGCCTCCCGAGATTCTGCCGCATGCGCCGCTCGACCTCGTCATCATGATCTCCGTCCCGGTTGTCGTCGAGGCGCAGCGCAGCTCGACCGCATCGATCAGCTCGTCTGCAGCGCTTAAGCTGCGCCTTATACGTTCGTCGCTCGAGTTCATTGTCAACAATGTCGGGCCGACAGACCGCGTCTCGCTCGTCTCGTACACCGCCGGCCAGGAGGGACAGGTTCGCAAGACGCCGCTGCTCCAGCCGGCAAAGGACGCGAGCCGGCTCTGTCTGCTGCGCTTCATCGAAGGTATGGGCACAGCGGGCGACGGTGTAGACGGAAGCAGCGCCGATCCGTTCGTCGCTGATCTGTCCGGGCTCGGTGGCGGCTCGGATCGCGTCGACACCGTCACGGCCATCAACGTCGGCCTTGACATTGTCCTGCAACGGACAGTGAAGAATCCAACAACGGGCATGGTGCTGGTTAACGATACCGCCTCCGGTCCAAAGCGCAATCAGATGGATCTCGTCATGGCTCGTGCAGAGGCCGCCAATGTCCCGATTCACTGCTTCGGCTACGGCAAAAACCACGATCCTTCTTCGCTCTGGCTCATTTCCAATCACACGCGAGGGTCCTACACGTGAGTCGTCTGACATATGAATCCATTTCCCCCTTCACGCGTACTGATCCGCGCTATGCTCTCGGCAGGTACATTCGCGAGTGGTACCAGCTGAGAGAGTGCCTGGCGGGCTGCATCGGCTCCCTCATGTCCGTCGCGCTGACAGAGGTCAAGGTGCACGTCTCCTTGCCCGCCGACAATCGCTTCTACGTGCGCAAAGTATCCGGCGTCATCGGCTCGATAGTCTCTGCCAACGGCAAAGACGTCGACATCGAGCTCGGCTACCTTTACTTTGGCGATGTGCGCGAGATCTTTGTCGAGCTATCTGTCGACTTTCACGAGCTTCTCGCATACGTGGTTCCACAGCGCGTACTAGCAGCTTCAGCTGCTGCTGCTACAAAGAAAGGGATAGCTTCGAGGAGCGGGAGAACGCTGGATGGTGCTTCAGCGATGGATGACTTTATGCAACGCCTTGGCATCCAAACACTGTCGCTCACCGATGCAGACTCTGTTGGCAACGACAGCGAAGTGATGGGCAATTCGATGGTAGAGGAGGTCGCGGTGCTCGAAGTCGATGCTGGGTTCAAAGATCCTGCCACGCTTCAATCCGTCACACACATGGTTACCTCGACCGTGCTGACACTCGACGTCGACCCCTTCACGCCTGATCCGACCGCCGCCACCGAGAACTCAGCATCCGTTGTCGCGACTCTCGCCGACCCGGTATCCACTCGACGCCGCATCGAAGTGATGGTCAGCGATCTGATCACGCGCTCACTCTTGCTCGTCTCGCGTCAGAATCACTCGCACGCCTCGCGTTTGCTCATCGAGACTCGTCGCATTGTTGAGACAGTTCTGGCCTCCATCCCCGCACCCAAGCAGGAATCGCAAGCTGCTGCGACGGCCTTCCGCACCGCCCGCGACCACATATCGCGAATGGGGGGGCCGCGCCGCCAGCGCGAGATGCTGCACGCGCAAACGCTTGAATCCTTCCATGCCATCATTGACGATCTTGACACCCTGATTGACAGCCTAGAGCGCAACAAGTCCGGCTTCGAGCGCGACACGCGGAATCTGGGTGCTCAGCAGGCGATCTGCCTGCGTGACCAGCGCGCATGGACGACACGAACAAACACGGAGTATCTGAGGTTTGGGACGGACAACGGTAGTGCCTATGCAGCACTTGCTTACGTGCACAGTCTTCCATCGAGGTAGAACGGCATGCATTGCGTGTTTTTCAACGAGTTCAGCCTGGCTTCCCAGAATTGACCTTCGTATTTAAATCTGTTCGCATCGTATTCTGCATTCGAAAATTTCAATTTTCAATATTTCGAATTGGCCTCCCACGGATGCAATTCTTCTAGCTTTCACCGACTAATGAGTTTCGGGAGAATAAGGCAGAACGGGTTGTCCCCCATTGTGAATTTTCAATAATCCCACACTTGGAGGTACGCGCTCAATAGGCTGGAGAATCTTCTCTGCATGGTGAGCGAATTGTCTATGCGGTTGCGAGCAAAAACTACGAATACACGATGAGATGTGCTTGCGCGCAATGCGATGCGACGTACCCGGAACCAGCTTGCGGCTCACGCCAGCGAGGGTGAGAAGAGCTGGGGCAATGGGGCGAAATGTAAATGGTCAGTTCGGTGGCATACTCTGATCGCAGGAGAGCAGGAGTATATTCACCCCCGTAAGGTACGCGCCATAGTCGTACTTGGTCTCCTCTGCGTGTTCTCCTTGCGCTTGCGCCTCTGCGCCTTCGCTGTTGCCGGTGACATGCATTTGCGGCATGCTCTCCTTCAGGTAGTCGATGGACCCTTGCGGGAGCAGGGCCATCCGGAGGTCCAGCTCTGTGACGTATGGCTGGGAAGGCGAGAGAGGCATTTCAGTTGCTTGTAGCTCGTCGCATGCGTTTGCGACGAGAGGAGTAATCGGGACATACCTTTTCGCCCGCAAGGCCCTGGAAAGCTTCGAGGAGTTGATCGGGTGATGTCGTATCTTCGATGATTTCGCGCTGGAAGAACCATCGAATGTGCACGGATCAGCATCTCTGCATTTATGTGGGACGGAGTATAGACGCGTGGGTTTATACGCGACGCACTAAGAAAGTAAGGAAAGCGTCGTAGTTGACGCTGCCAAAGTTTTGAGAAAGCTGCAGGTGAATCTGCTCCATGTCCTCGTCGCTGTAGACAATACCCAAGCTTGCCAGAGCGCCGCTGAGCTCGGCGACACCGAGTGTGTTGGTGCTGTCCTTGTCAAAGAAGCGGAAGGTAGACTCGAACTCTTCCAGTTGCGCTGGCGTCAAGTTAGTGTGGTTCCGCGAGACAATCTATGGAATCGGTCAAGATATGGTGTCAGTGTCACGGTGAGCGACGGGCGACAGAGAGAAGGGGGGTTCTGGCAGTTGGAGCACGGGCTCACCTGATTCTCGATGAAGGCCAACTTCTTTGCGACACTGGCGACGACGAGCTCAAGCTCGAACTGAAGATCCTCCATGGTGAAGACGGTGTGGTCGTTCTCCTCGACGTTGGCCTCCCCGCACTCCCGATCGACAATCTCGATGCTGCGCAGCTCCTGCTGGATGATAGGCGCCAGGACCTGCTCCTGGATGCGCTTCACTTCCCCGCGCTGATCCTCGAGGCTTCCGAGCGCGTCCAAAGCCGAGAGGGAGGAGTTGATGGAGCGCAGGTTGCGCTCGAAGCTGTTTGCCTGCGACGCGAAGCGGACGCGCAGCGCCTCCTTTGCCTGGCGGATCTGCGCGTTGATCGACCGCGACCGCGCGGCCTCGGCCGCGGCGAGCCTCTCCCACGCGGCGTCTAGGTCGACCTGGCGGAGCCCAGGTGCTGGGGCCCATTCGCGCAAGTGGTACGTCTTCAGCTTGGTCTGGATGTTTCCGAGCAGCGCCGCGAGGTCGGTGCGCTCCTGGACCCACGAGCGCTTTGGCCCCTGCTTGTACGCATTGAATGCTGTAAGCTCTGCCCTGGCGGCCGCGTATGCTGTGACGCCGCCAGCGGCGGCGACATGCGCGTCGGCGTCGCGCCACGCGGCATGTACATCAGCGATCTGCGCGAGGAGCGCACGTGCGCGGCGCTCATAGTCATGCTGCATCGTCCACGCGCCCTGCATGACGTCCGCGAACGTCGCGACGCGCCGCGAGACAGCCTCAGCCTGCTCCATGCTGCTGAAGGCGTGGAAGTACTGTGCGACGTACGTCATGACCGACTTTTCGTCCGGCTTGGCGCGGTCGCAAAGGTCCTCAACGTCCAGCAGTTGCGGGATGCCGAGGTGCTGCGAGGCAACGGCAAAGGCCTGGCGCGTGCATGCGTGTGCGTCGTGCTTGGGCAGCGTCTCCCATGCGATGAGGTCCGGGCGATGCCGGTGGATGAGCGCGCAGAGCGCGAGCCCGTCTTTCCAGGAGGTGGAGAAGTTTTGCACGTCAACCACCGGGTGGTAAGGCGTGGTCTTGCGCTGGCACCACAGCAGCAACCCCTCCTTGGCCGTGACGCCCTCCTCGCTGATGTCGGCGATGGTGAAGCGCAGGATGAGAGTCCAGATCATGCCGAGGATCAGCTTGAGATTGCCGTCGATGATGTCCTCGGCGCCCACGTTGGTGAGGACGACGCCGCGAGACTTGATAAAATCGAGGGCTTTGTTAACGTTCTCGGCCATCTGGACACGCATGCGCGGCGTCTTGTAGTATCTCCCGAGGGAGATGTCACCACCCATGATCTCCATCAGTTGGACGAGCAGCACGCCGTCGGCGAGGTCGCGGACCAGCGAGGTCATCGGGGGGATGTCGCGCACGGCGAGCTTGGTGTTGAGCCTGCGCCAGTCGAGGCGGTGGGGTCAGCCGCCAAAGGATGTGGAGCCGCATCGGCTCGCACGCACCATTTCGTAAACGTCTTGGCTTGCACCTCTTCCCAGCCCCTGTCGAGGTCGGGTAGGCCCATCAGCGTAGACGCACGCTTGTACGCCGCGGACATCCTAACCACGAGCACCGGTGCTTGTTCGCTGCTTTGCTCCACAGGTCGTCAAGCAACACGTGCGGCAGTGAGAGCAGCCGACGGCGGTTTATTAACACAGCGCGCGTGTGTACGCTACTGGATATGAAGATGAAGGGGCCGTGCGGACCGAGACGAAAACTGGTGGCAAGGGGGTGTTGTAGCTCAACTCGAATATGACCCAGCACGCGAGTAAGGCAGGCAAGTTCCGAGTAGTGTGACCGCCGGATAAGCAGAGGGGGGGCGGTGTGCGGGACCAATTCTCCCTAGATGCCGCATTGAGCATGGTACTCGAGCAAGCCGTGCGGTAGAGTACAATATCTATTTCCAAGGTGTGTTGTAAGAATACAACACACCAAAAGGGACTCGAGGCGTTGTGGGGGTGTTGATCTCGGTCGGCGCTGGTGGGTGTCTCTCGTCGCGCGAGGAACTGAGCTTGGTTCTTGCAGGGTAGAACTAGTGAGGACCCGTTCTCGGCGGTGGACTGTGCACGGCACGACCAGGACCTGGTTGATACTCCGGTAAGGTTCGTGAGAGAGGCGGGCGACGAGATGTGCCGAGGGATGGGCTGTGTGCACAGCCGCGAGAGGATGGAGATTGAGGCGGGACGGGGCGGAGATAGTACAGCTGAGAGCGATGCTGCCTGCCTGCGCTCCACCAGCGGAGTTCGCTCGCCCGCCCGTCTCGCAACGACGACAATGCTACATAGCGTGGCCACGCGTCCGTCTCTTTTTCTCCAGGCTGCGGGTCGTCAGCTGTCAAACAGCACCCACCCACAATATCCATGTATGGAGAGAAAGAGCAAGAGAAGGACCTTTGTGGGAATATTCCTATATGCTATCGATCTCAACAAGGAGGATTGAGCCTGCATGAGGCAGAACTGTTAACCCCCAACCTTCATCCGGACTCCGCGCTGCACACTGCCACGTGGCTATCATAGCTGCATGAGCCTGTCACCCTAAAGGCATGAGCCCTGTGTATGTATGTTCCGGGCAGGACTGTGCACAGCGGGAGTAGCGAGCACTTGGGCAGGACTCTGGACACCATGGGGCACCTTCTTCACACAGGCGTTCAGACATTCACTCCATTCAGGCCCTTCCCAGAACCACATCCAAAGCAGAGCCATCCCGAGGCCACGATCGCGAGACCTATGTACGAGGTCTGCCGGGCAATCTGCACGTCGTACTCTCGTTTGCTCCTGGTTGGGTTATCGCGCTAGGTCACGTGATATCAACTCAATAGGCCCGACCTCGAAGTGAAATTGATTCGGTGGGGAGTGCTGCCGTGCCGGTGTTAATCGGCCGGACAAATAGGGTGGCACTGCAGTGTGCTCTCTTTTGCTCAGCCACATCCACGCTCGCGCTGCATGGCTGCGCACCAAGAAGAGGTTAGGGTTAGAGCGTTGGAATAGGTGCATCACACCATGCAGCGGCCGATGACAACATCCTTTCGTACGATCATGTCCCCTGGGACTCATCGGCGTACAGGGGACCAAGTGTCGCGGGAGTGGTAAACGATTATCATCCCAAGAGAGAGAGAGAGAGGGAAGGAGAGAGGGAAACCCACCCCGCACGCCGGCAATATGGCGGACGAAAAAAAGGCAACCGTTCACGTCGCCGAGGAAGGGGGCGTCGTGGCGCAGGCCGAATACTTTGACCGCCTCGCGAAGCGCTCCGCCCGCCGCCACCGCCTCGTCACACTCGCCACTCTCTTCCTCTGCGGCCTGTGCTACTATCTCCTCTTCGGTGGAACCCTCCCGGACTGGCCACACGAGCTCCAGCCGATTTCGCTCATGTCCGACGGCTCGCAGGGGCACTGGTCCCCGTGGAGCTGGCTCACCCATGCGCTTCCACTCGGCCATCGCCCCGCCTGTGCCGGCCACCGCGGCGGCAAGCCGACTCATGACCCCTTCAACGATTCAGCCAGTGAATACGGTTACCTGTCGTACCTCAGCCGCTCGGTAGGCTTGCGCAAGCCACTCCATCACGCGCTGAGCGTGAACGGCATAGCCTGCATCGATGCATCGCGCGGCGGCATCGGCTTTGGCAACAAGGTCGATGTCTCCATCGCTTCCTCTCCTTCCCAGCTGGAAGGCTCCAACTTGGAGCAGATGTATGAGTCGCTCTTCCTCTCCATCCCGTCCGCTGAAGGCGCACGCGCAGCAAACTTGCTCTACGCAAACCACACCCATGTCAGCTCCTCCAAAGGTGACCGCAACACAGCCATATATACGGCCAAGCGCTGGGGCGAGCTGCTGGGCGTTCAGATGCCCGAAAAGATAGGCAAGATCGTCTACGAGGCAGGCAGCACCGAGTCCCAGCAAGCCGTCAAGGGCTCCGACGGAGAGTCGGGCCACTACCACCACCACCACCGCCGCCGCCGCCACTTTGGCACTGAGAGCAGCAAGAATAGCAAGGGCAACAAGGGAAAGCATGGGAAACCACACTATGGCCCTACTACGGACCCGCGCGTGTGGATTGACACATACCACGTCTGGATCAACACGCCGCTCAACCAGTCCCTCGTCCTCACCGCCTCGCCTTCGGCCGCGGTCCCGCACCCGGAGCCGATCTTCACCGCAAGCCTGACCGAAGACCAAGTCGGCGACGACCCCAACATCCCCGCCGAGGTCAGCCCGACGTATCACGGCTACTCCAAGTCCGGGCGCGTCGACTATGCACAGGTTGTCTATGCCAACCTTGGCCGCAAGGAGGACTACGACGCGCTGGACGCAGCGGGCATCTCGCTCCAGGGCAGGGTCGCGCTCGTGCGCTACGGCGGCCCGTTCCGCGGCCTTAAGGTGCGCGGTGCGGAGATGCGCGGCGCCGTCGCGTGCCTGATCTACACAGACCCGGCCGAAGACGGCGCGGTGACGCTTGCAAACGGCTATGCGGCTTACCCTGACGGCCCGGCCCGGCAGCCGTCGAGCATCCAGCGCGGCAGCGTCCAGGCGCTGTCGTTCTACCCAGGCGACCCCTCGACGCCGGGGCGGCCGAGCTACAAAAACGCGACGCGCCTTCTCCCGCATGAGGCTGACTCGCTGCCGGCGATTCCGTCGCTGCCCCTTTCGTACCGCGACGCCGCGCCTCTGCTGCGCGCGCTGCAGCACCACGGCAGACCCGCATCCGCCATGGGCACCGGCCGTGACTGGGACGGTGCCGTACCCGGCATCGCCGGTGAGTACTGGACTGGTCCCGCGCCGGACGTCGTCGTGAGTCTGCAAAATTTTGGCGAGCTGGCGGTACGCAAGATATGGAACGCCTACGCCGTCATCCCCGGCCACGTCGCCGACGAGGTCGTCGTGCTCGGCAATCACCGCGACGCGTGGACCTTTGGCGCTGCCGACCCGTCTTCGGGCAGTGCCGTGTTTGAGCAGATCGTCAACGGCCTCGGCGCGATGGTCTCCAAAGGCTGGAAGCCGCTGCGCACCATCATGATCGCCTCGTGGGATGCCGAGGAGTTCGGTCTTGTCGGTAGTACTGAGCACGCCGAGGACTTCCCAGACTGGATCAAGGCGAACGTTATCATGTACCTCAACCTCGACATCGCCGTCTCCGGCTCAGCCTTTGGCGGCAGGGCCAGCCCGAGCCTGGTAGACCTCCTCGCGGACGTCGCGGCCAAGGTCGACGACCCGGACAGCCCGCTCGGCGCCAACGGGAAGCTCGCGTTCCCCCGCGGACATGCCCTCGGCAGCGGCAGTGACTTTACCAGCTACCTCCAGCACCTCGGCATCGCGAGCGCCGACATGAGCTTCAGTAGGAGGGAAACCGATCCCGTCTATCACTACCACTCGCAGTACGACTCCTTTGTACGTTTTGCTTCTCTTGCTTTTGCTCTTGTTTTTTTCGCTCCGGCGCACGGGACCGCACCGCTGACGCTTCCTCGCGCACAGAACTGGATGGACAACTTTGGCGATCCCAGCTGGAAACGCCACGTTGCCGTCGCCAAGGTGTTTGGCCTCGCAGCGTTGCGCAGCGCGTCGAATCTCTTCGTGCCTATCAATACCACGGCCTACGCCGAGGAGCTCGGAAGGTACGTGCAAAATGTCGAACGCCTCCCCGCCGCCCCTGCAGCCGCCACTTCCGCTGCGGCGGACTTTGGGCCGCTGCGCAGGGGCGTCAAGCGCATCGTCGACGCGGCTGCTGCGCTCGATGCGACCAAGGAGCGCCTCGCGGCCCGGCTGCGCAAAGCTTTGAAACACGCGCACGAGGCCGACGAGATTGAAGACCAGCTACCTGCTGAGAAGCACAACAACCATGACGGGTCGCGGCCGGACCGCCGCAGGGGGAGAAGGGAGGCTCGACAGGAGCTACGCAGGATCATCACTGAGATCCGCAGAGTCAACGCGAAAGCGACCAAGTTCGAGCAGGGCTTCATCTCCGAAGACGGCCTCGTCGGCCGGCCGTGGTACAAGCACCTCGGCGTTGCACCTGGCAGGTACCTCGGCTACGGCGCGACGACGCTGCCCGGCGTCACGGAAAGCATTACGCTCGATGGCGGCAAGGGGACGCAGGAGGAGATCGACAGGCTCGCGGCGCATCTGGAGAAGATCGCCGCGCGGCTTCTGGTTGCTGGTGCGCAATGAGTTGATCGCATTTTTCACTTTCCTTTTTTGGCCATCTCTCCCTTCCATTCTTTCCATGGACGCTTTGTTCCCTGCACCACCCACACGATGTGAAATGCATAACTAGTGTGTAATTGTCGTCTCACCGGTCCTAGTGTACAATGATAGAAGCTGATGCGGCAGCGCAGCTGAGTTGCTAGTGACGGTCAGGAACATCAAGCCTTGACCTTCTTGGCTTTCCCTTCCTTGCCATTCACCTTGGCCTTGGCCTTAGCCTTGGCAGCATCGACCTGTACCTTCTCCGCTGCTTTGCGGGTGACAGCACCATCGGCCGCTGAGCTGCGCGCCTTGCTCTCCTTCTCCTTGAGGCCAGCATCGGCGCTACCGCCCTTCCTGGCCGCGCTTTTCTTCGCCTTTACATCAGGTGCTGCTTTTACCACATCCGTCTCGCCCTCGCCCTCAGACTCGCCGCGACCGGCGTTCGCGCGCGCACCAGCATCGAGCACAGCCTCCATGTCTTGCGCATCATCCATGACCACCTCTGTGCCGGCCCAGCGCCCTTCCTCGTCCATCTCGCCGACACCAGCGCCGACTTTGCAGTTCCAAATGGGCAAGCTGGCAGAGGCGCCCAGCTTGACCTCGAGCGCTTGGATGTTGCTCCATTTACCGGGGACACGCGAGACGATGTGCGGCAGCGCGGAGCGCAGATTGTCGACCAGCTGCATCGGCGTGTGCGAGCGCAGATGGCCCAGCTTGATTGCGCTTTTCGAATAAATAGAAGCCATCACAGATGTCAGCCTGCTACAACCCGAGTGTTCATATGAGTCGATGCAACACTTACGTGTTAGTTCCTCGGTTCTGGATGTAGTATGTACCTGACAACGCCTTTTCGATGTTAGCCTTCACCGCCTTCTTCTTCGAGATGTCAATCAAGATGGGCTGTTTCTTGCTATCAAAGAATTTCTTGCCCAGAAGAGTGGGTAACAGTGGGACAATTCGATCGTCCGCGAGGAAGAGGTCGTGGTCTTGCAACAGCTGTCGGCGGGCATCGAAAGGCTTGAATTTCCCTTTGAGCTTGCTGACTCCGACGACCCGTGAAATGGAAGTGATTTGCTGTTCTACGAGAAGATCCTTGTACTCTCGCTGCGGGTCTTTGGTGAGCAGGCAGATAGAGGTGACCGAAGTGAAAATAGGGTGCTCAAGTGGACTGTAAGGGGTCGATGATGAGCATCAGCGACGGAAGAGATTCGACTGGGAACGCAGACTTTCCTCACATTCTCACTGGCTTGACCATCTTCTTGGGGTTCAACTGCTTCACGGTTACCTGCAGCCACACCGTCTGCTTCTTGTCACTCGTATCGCCATCTAACCCATCGCCTTCTTCGACATCATCATCCGCAGCCAGAAGGTTTCGCTTCCCACCGGACACATGTTGCGATGCTCGGTGCTTCTTGTCATGTGCGGTTAGTGCATCAAATGCCAGTTGTGCTTGGCGCGGCGAGACATGCGAGTCTATCAAGTCGATATCTGCTGCTGCAGGAGTTGCAGGTGCAGGCGTCGCCGCCACCGCGGCGGGTGCTTTGCCCTTTGCGGCTGCCTTCAGGCTCGAGCTCGAGCTCTTTCTGGAAGGTGGCATCTTCGACTTCAGCAAAGAGGCGCCTTTAGACTTGCAGAATAGACAAACACAGGGCAGCGGTTTCTGCTGAAATCTGTGGAGGGTGTTTTGCTATGGTACCATATCCTGGTGACAACAACAAAGGCGAAGACAAAGTCCAAGACCAAAAGAGGTGGCTCTTGACTCTCCCTGGCGATGGATGCCGCTCTTAGTTGAGGCTTGTGTGAGAGTCCCAGCTGCTCAGAAAAAAGTTGCAATTCCAATGCCGAATTCCGGATTCCGGGATCCGAACATGGGCTCAACCAGCTGATTAGTATCTACAGTTTAGATCGGAGAGCGTGTGGCGGGCATGTGCAACTTTGAGACTAATAGACTTCCGGCAGTTGGTCGTCCTACATCGTCTCCTTCAGCATGCTCGTAGTGCAACATCCTGCTTCACGGAAAGCGATGGAAAGCGGTACTTTCGGCTGATATGTGGGTCACGCGCCTGTGAAAACTCTGTTGGAAATGAGTCGGCCGCACAGTCGCTGGCTGTATGCCGCGTGATCGTCGAGCATGGTTCCGTCGCGATCGTCAACGGCTGCAACTCCAGCCGGGACAAAGCATAAGCTCAGCAGCAATTCAGATACAAAGACGGGCAGCAAAAATCAACCTGCGTCGAGTAAGCGCAGCGCCGGTGGTACACAGAAAAGGCTTAGGGCTTTGGATAGCAAACCAGCAGGGTCGATTCTCAAGCAGTCAAGACTGACGTTTGGCCCACCCGGCAGCACAACGTCACCATGGCTCCCGCCATCATCCTGCTTTGACAGCGCTGCAAGCCAAAATTCACACGCTTCGCAACAAAATCGAAGCGGATCCGAGCAGCCAGATTCTCAACCAGTGACGCGGCTCTGCAAAAGGCGAGCGCAGGCGATCGACCTGCGCGAGGTGGAGGAAAGTGTGCAAGACCATTCGTGGGACGTCATTGACGATGCGACCAGCGACGAGGAGGAAGACGATGCGGCTCAATCCTTAAAAGGCCTATCATATTCTAAAAAGCTCGGTACAGCCTCTTTGAGCTCTATGAATACACCAGCGCCTGCAAGGAGTCCGTTTGACGACATTTGGTCACTCACCTTCCCCCCAACGACCCGCGCGGACCTGTCAGTACACAAGAAGAAGGTCGAGGAAGTGGAGCGATGGCTGCGGGATGCACTTCAAGGCCCTAATCAGATGCGCAAGTACCGGCGTTTGCTTTGCTTGAGTGGCCCCAGTGGGAGCGGAAAGAGCACGGTGATGGACATTTTGGCCAAGCAAGAGGAAATCGGATTCGACGTAGCTAGCTTCGATAATCGCGCGACAAGCGGTGGGCAAGGGTATATGCAGGCGTCGCGAGCAATGGGCGAGCGTGGATCAACGGGTCTGACGGAGAAGTTTGCCGAATTTGTGCTCTACGCTGCTGGGCCCAGGCGGCTCAAGCTTGGCGACGATGATGAACCAAGCAAGCAACACTCGAGCTCCACAGAGACAGGTGTCGTGCGGAAAAGCTTTCGCTTCGATACAGCACCGGAAACGTTGCCCTCGTCTTCCTCTAACGCCAATAAAGTGATCATCATTGATGATTTGCCCAACTTGTCGCATCTGCCAACAAAGGAAACATTCCAAAGTTCGCTCGAAATGCTTCTTCGCAAACCATTGACTCAATTCGATGAGTATGGGAAGTTGCTCAACATTCCCGTTGTCGTCATCCTCTCTGAGTCATTGCCCAGGGCTAGCGAGGAAAGCTGGGCAAGCGGCGGTGGCGATGGTGGCGGCTGGAAAGAGAGGATGACTAGCACATGGGACGTGAGGACCGTGTTTGGGGATGTCATCCGAAATCATCCCGGGTTTGCAGAAATCAAGTTCAATCCTATCCCAACCACGCTGATGAAGTCGGGTCTCAAGAGGATCGTCGATCTGGCCCTTGGACCGGGTCATGACAGCACTGCCACTGGCGCAATCTCCCCCACATCCAATGCAAAAACGATCAGCAAAAAGCGCAAAGCAAAGTCAAAGCCGGACAGCGATGGTGATGCCAGTATTGGTGACGACATGCTGAGTACTGCCACGCTGCTTTCCGATGCCATTGCCAAGCACAGTGACGGCGACATCCGAAGTGCGATTAATGCATTGCAGACCGCTCTTCGTCTCGATGCTGCAGGTGCGCCAGCCCTAGCAACGAGTGCAGTCCTCGGTAGCGTGGAAAGCGATACTGATCTAGAGGTTGTCGCTGCCAAGAGCGCCAAGACGGCACGGGAAGGCAGAAGCAGGCGATTGGCAGTGGGAACGAATCAGGCCAGGAAGAGGGTCACTAGCAAGGAAAAGGTCGATCAGCTTATGACGCTCGTTGCGGAGCGGGAATCATCGATGGCTCTCTGGCATGCCCTGGGCAAAGTCCTCTACAACAAAAGTGAGTTCGATTTTGCTCTTGATAGTGTGGCACAGGAGAATTGAATGACTTGGCGTTTCTGCTGGCAGGAGCCGGTGAAGAGAAAGATGAAATGGAGCGTGCGATGATGCGCGACCTGGCAACTCGTACCAGCAGGCAGGACCTGCTCCCTGAGCATATGCTCCATCTAGAACGGAAGCTCAGCATGGTCGATATTGATGCCCTGTGGCTTCAAGTCTCAGTCGAGCCATCCAACTTTCTAATCTTCTTGCACCACAATTACCCTCAATTCTGTGAGGACCTAGACGAGTGCGCCAGGATCGTCGATCAATACAGCTTTGTAGATGCTCGATTGCATCCTGAGCACGAGAGTGTGAGTGCTTTCCATCAATGGACGGTCCTTGTCCAGAGAACTGATAGACAGTTTCCCCTATATGTAGTGGCTCAGCTCATCTCTGTCTGCCTACTACCACTTCGTGGTATCGAGCAAGGCCACAATGCTGCACCTGCCGTCGCCAGTACCACGCAATAGACAGAAGCTCAACAAGCCTCACTTCTGGGACGTCGGAAAGCGTAGCAAGCAGTTCAGTGATGGTCTTTCAGATGCTCAGGCGTACTTTCAACGCAAAGCTTCCCGATGTATGAGCAGTGCAGAGCAGCAAGACGATGCTTTTGCATATCTCACTCTCAGCAGTAGTAGTTCCACTGCACTTGCTACGGAGGTCTTGCCTTTACTGGCTAAATTTCGGAGCTCAGAGGGTCAGTGGTCTTTTCCTCTTCAGATGTGCACTTCTGCGCTAATATTCGGCTTCCCCCCATTTCTCAGGCAACGACAACGTTCTGCCGGAAAGCCTCAGCTCTCTCGGCGAATTGTCCTTCTCATCGCGAATTGGCGTGCATGGTGAAGACGACTCCGACCTTGAGCATGGAGTCGATGAAGACACCGAGGACGGCGGCGCCGCACAGTCGATGGGGGCTATCGCGTTGCGCAAGAAAGACTTGCAAGCCGAAGCTAGCACCCTTGGGCGTTCAGATCGTAGCGGAGAAGCCCATCTCATAGATGTAGAAGACATTGAAGTGGAAATGGGAGGAGAGCTGTCTGATGACGAGATTGACGACTTTTGAAGGGATGAACTTGACGGTTTGTCCACATATCACATGTAGCGTAGTATCTGTATCATAAAACGTTCAAGCATCTCTGTTACTCTCCATCAATGGGCATATGCTTTGCATGCAACATCAGGACAGTCACACACCCCAGTGCACATATGGGTCTACGATGACCGAAAGAATACCAGATGCAGAGAGTCCATAATACAACGAGATTTGGGGATTATATCACACGAAGTCGAGCCCAGAATCGCTTGTGCTGCAGTCCTCCCAAATGGTGCCAATCGTGCGCTTTCCATGAGCAGCACGCTGGCCGAGGTGGTGGCACAAGCTTGACAATATATCGATGAGAGCTTCCTTCGCTTCCTGAGTGGCAGCGCTGTCGCTAGATGCATCGCCATTGATTGAGGGGCTCGTTGACTTCTGACCCAGAAGTGGCGTGCCGGGTCTGCTATCCATAGCCAGCAATGCCAACGAGGAGCGGCACTCGGGTAAAATAGCACGAGCGAGTGCCCTACGCAGAGAAAACGCCTCCTCCAATACCGCCGCAAGGTGGTTCGAGTGGCTTGAAGCCGCGAAGAGACGCAGGAATTTGAGCCACATCAAGGAGGCAGAGACCAGTGCGAAGGTTGCATCATCTTCCGGAAGAGCAATGCGATCGGCAGCAAAGTCTGAGCTTGGGAAGATTGCTTGGTCGCCGAGGACGAGGCGCACCAAGGTGGCACAAGTGGTGGACGCTCCCAGCATCGACTTTGGACGACTAAGTTCCAGTTTTAAGCCCATTGCGACGTGATGCGCTATGTGTGCGTCGCCGAGTAGGAAGGACCATGCAGCGAGCGTGATGGAGGCGAGAACATGCGCTGGCGTTCCGCGAGCGGCCGTACGGTTGATCTGTGACACCTTGTCCGTGATTTGCATGCGACTGTTCTCGTCTTCGGTCACAATGAGTTGCAGGCCAGCTGTGCGCCTTGCGTTGAATTCTGATATGAAAGCTTTGACCGAGATGCCGCCTGCGTCGTCGTCTTTTGACGCAAGCGTCTCGGGTCCCGCGCACATGACGAGACTCGGGAAGAGCTGGCACCATAGGGCGCGGATCTGCTGCATCTGCAGCACGTTAGACACGAGGAGCAATGGCGTTGCAAGGAAGGTGCGCGTGTTGGCATCTGCAGTGAGCGCTGCGGTGCTTGCGGCGGATTCGCTTGGACATAGAGCCAGGGCCTCCTCGAGAGTAACTTGCAAAGTGTGGGAAAGCCAGGGATGGATTGAGTCGCTTTCGTTGAAGCCAACACCATTCCTCGCCGCCAGAATGTGTTCTTCTTCGAGTCCAACAAGCTGCGCCTGATGCGCAAGCCTCCAACGTGCAATAGCCGAGGCGCGCATCATGCGCCCGATCGCATTGTCCGTTGCACCCAGGCGACCCAGCGCGAGGGCCATAGTGGCATGCACGCGCGCAGGGTTGCAGGCCTGATCGCTCGCCAAGAGTTGGATGTTACGCACCTTGAGAATCGTGTGCGTCTTCTTGAGCAAAGAGGGCTCAGCAAACGGTCCCCAAGCCGTCTCCACTTCCAGCAAGCGTAGCCAGACCCGCGCTTCTTCCCGATCAGGTTGAGCAGCACCTTGCTTGCGGAAGATCGCGATAATTGGCGAGGGTATCGCTGCAACTGTCACTTCCCGGATGATGCCGATGGCTGCGGCTGCATCGGTGGTGGGAGCGCCGACGAACGCTCGCAGCACCTTGTCGACCGCGCGTGCGCTGATCCGATCGGCGCCGAGCGTGGAAAGCATCGCCTTCTTGCGTTCTGTCACATCTGCCAGCCTTTGCGCCGCGTTGCGCTGCTGCTCTGGCGTGGGTATCGCAGGGAAAGTCCTGCGATTGCCTTGCCGCCTGATGTACCGAACGAAAGGCAGGATCGCAAAGAGCATGCAGGCGAAGAAAGAGGCGAAACGCAAAATCTCGAACAAGAGAAGATGCGACGGCACATGGTCAAGGTGGTGTTCTGCGGGCGGCACGACGTTCGCACGTTTGAGCAGCTGGTGACTGGCGCCAATCAAAGTGGCGCCAGCCTGACGGGCAGCCGCGTGTGCGCTGTCGACCACTGAGGGAGGCGAAGAAGCCGCATTGTTCACTACATGATGCGACGCCGTCAGCTCGGTCCCACCGCCGAAGAAGGTGAAGCCCAAGAAAGCTGCCATCATGTAGTTGCTAGCTGAAGCGCGCGATGCGCCCTGCCCCGATGTCGACGACGTCGGAGAAGCTGCAAGCAGAGAGTCCTCTTCGTCCTCATCGGCGTCCATGTCGGCGTCGACATCGAAGGAGATGTCGCGCATCTCTTCATCGTCGCTGCCAACGAGTTCGTCCTTGGCATCGGCAGGCTGCAACGCCTTGAGGCGGGCCTTCTCAGCATCGCGCTCCTTCTTCGTCTGTTCCATCTCGCTCAACCAAACAGCGAGTACGTCTTCGCCTCCGCGCAACGAGCGCACTAGCTCCTTCAAGCCCTCATTCTCACTGACGAGCGCGACCTCGCGGCGCTTGAGGTATTGGATGTACTCGGTCGCTTTACCTAAAATGGTGGCCTTGTTAAGCTTGGTCGCAGCGCTAACACCATCGACCAGGTCCCCCTGCTGTCCTTTGCCCCAGTTCGGCTTTTTGAGGACCTGTGTGCTGCCACCGTTGCTCTTGGGTCGCAGGTCACGCAGGGCGGGTACAGCATTGCGCAAAGCGGCGATACGGTCGTTAATGTTGTTCCTGTATCGCCGCTCGATGGCATTGTGCGGAACTTTGCGGGACGCCTTGCCTCCGTCGGCCTCGTCGCTGTCCTCAGCGCCGGCCTTGCTCTTCTTGCGCGAGCCTTTCTTTCGGCTGCCCTTGCCGCCTTTGCTGTTAGCATCGGCATCATTGGAAGAGCCGTCGCCTTGCATGTCGTCAACGCTCGAAGAATTCGCCGCTTGCAGTACATCCCTTTCTTGCTGCCTGACGTAGAGTTGTGCCAGAATGGCATCGAGATCGCTGAAGGCTGTGTATGTCCGAAGGAATGTCATGCGTGAATCTGGTCAGTTATGCCAAGTGAAATGTCAGCACGAAGCAGAACGCACCATTCTTATCAAGGATGCCCCATTTATCCTCAGCCCTGAGTGGTTCGGCGGCCAAACTCTTCGCATGCAGCGAAAGCTTGTGCGCGAGACTCGTCTCTGATTTGATTTTTTTGGTCGGTCCGCCATTGGCATCTTCCTCTTCGACAGCAGAAGCGCCGCCGCCGTCCGCGCTGGAAGAGCACTGCTTTCCCGACGAAAGGGTCACCGGTGACGAGAAGGCGGGCTTGCTGCCATCCTTATCTTTGGCCTCGGGATCGCCACCTGCTGAGCTCGACCGCGAAGCACGGGAGCGTGCTGCGCTGCTATCAGGGTTCGGGCGCTTCTTTCCCCTGCCCCCGATCGACGGTGCTGGTGCGGCGCCCTTGCTCACCTGCTGCAGCGACGCAGCGCCAGCCGCGGACAGCGCATCCTGCATCTGCATCAATGTATTCACTTGCGTTGTTGGGTGAATGAATGCGCTTGGAGCAAAGCCGCCGAACTGCGAGAATTGCAGGATCTGCTGCGGTGTCACACAGCTGTTGCCGCTGGCGCCAGTAGCAGTTGATGAAAAAGAAATCGGCGTACTCGCCGTGGGCAGTGGTATGGACAACGGCAACGGCCAAGGGATCATCGGCAAGGCCATCTGCTGCGCTCCGCAACCAACTGCGTTGCCATTTCCATTCCCACCCTCATTCTGTGCCGCTTGCGCCATGGCAGCTGCAGCCGCTGCGATAGCCGCTTGCATTTGCATATGTGCGGCCACTTGCATATGCTGCAGATTCATCTGCTGCTGCTGCTGCTGCTGCTGCTGTTGCTTTTGTAGTAGTAGTAGTAGTTGTTGTTGTTGTTGCTGGTTTTGCTGCAGCTGGGGTGCTGTCGCCAAGGTGGGTGTCTGCGAAGCGTTAGTTAGGAAGGAGGAACCTGCTGCTGTCCACGCATTGGAGTCGCTTGAATTTGTACCTGCGGTTGCATTGACGTTGCCATTCAAGTTCGCCGCCAAGGCTTGCTGTTGCACCATCATCTGGTGGCCGACACCCGCGCTGGTGCTGCTGCCGCTCTCATCGTCGAATGACCGGGACGAGTGGGGCGGGCTGAGTGCGAAAGGCTCATTCTGCTCAGAGGCAGAGGTGACCGAGTAAGCGCTAAAGCCGGGTGTGGACATGTCGCTTGCCGGCTCAGCAATGACATTGGCGCTGCGGTGTCCTGTTGCAACTGCCTCTTCCGCGTCGAGCAAAGAGCTCGTCAACAAGCTGTTGTTGGTACTGCTATCATTCCCGTTGGAGTTGAACCCGCTCAGTAGAGACGGAAAGCCTTGCATGTCAAGCGCCATACCAGAGTTCAGCAAACCTGGCAACGGCATATCTGCATTTGTCGTGCTGCTGGCGAGGAATGAGGGCAAGTCTTTGCTCGCGATGCCCTCATCGATGATTATCTCACCGGTGGTACCGACGGTGAGAGGCGGTAAGAGGGACAGGGACGGTGCAGAGGGCGAGGCATTAAAGAGCATGTCATTGAATGTTGGCTGCTGGGCGGTATTGAGGGATGATTTCTTGGTCATGTCTGCGTCGTGCCGCTCGGACGCTTGAGTGCCAAAAGTAGCTGCATTGTAGAGGCTGAGCGGCGAGGCCTGCTCTTTGTGGTTGGCCATAGATTGAATCTGCGCCAGGCGCTTGACGAGCTGCACCTGTGTCTGTCGCTGTAAGAGCGCGCTTTGAAGATAGGCATCTGACTGGCGACAACCCGGCGAAGCGCTTCCTCCCCCAGCACCTTCATCTGCAATTGCGCCCGACATGGAAGCACAATTCCCGGATAGCGCGCCTCCAAAGAACTGGTGGTCAATCAGGAGCTGTCTGGGAGAGAACGTGACACTGGTTGTAGATGGAGGTAGCGCAGCTACCAGACGACTCGGCGTTGACGTTGACGGTGGAGCTGGCGCTTCTGCGTCGATCTCACGCATCGACGGTGATGCCGACGCTGCTGCTGCTGTTGATGTGGTTGTTCTTGCCTCTAGCGACGAAGAGCTTGGAGTCGCATCAGCCAGTGCACAGCCAGCATCAAGAGACGTTGGCGAAGGCGGAGGGGCAGCAGAGGGGGGCTGTCCGGCCGAAGTGATCGAGGCGCTCATCGTCGGCACGGCCCCACCTTGTGCTGTTGCACAGCCGAGCGTAGCCTCTGCACCAGTTTCTTACGCCCCCTAGCTGATATTATGAGCCGATCCTTAGTGGAACTCTCGTCTCCAACGCTTGACCGAGGCCCCAGCTGTCGTTCGAGAATTCGCGATGGGCGGTCGAACGCGTCGCACGTCGTATACATACACAATTGTGAGCTGATTTTTGGGCTCCAGTCGAACAAAATTAATAAGTCAATTGGGGCCGGCTCCCACAATCCGGTGGGGACTGACGGCCACCTGGCGAGCACCAGGGGCTCTTTGCTGATCTTCCCTCCAGCAGACTGTCATTACCTGTCATTCGCTGATGGCATCTCCCCATGTCGGTCTGTAGAGCCAATAGCTGTCGTTGTCGGTACCTAAAGCCCAAAAAAAAGTGGGACGAGATGCTGGCTGCAGACAACGGTATATGGATGCCTCACGTAATACGTGTATCGGCCGAGAATCTGCCAGCTGCACTTGACTCTGTACAAGCAGTCACTATGCACACCAGCGCGGGCCTCCTGCCGATCTCCTCCGGGCGGTCTGATCACCTGACTACTATACTAGACGGCTTTATATGACGTGTTTGCTATATACAGTTTGTGAAAGATCTCTCATCCTGCCAAGTCCACTTCTGTCTCTCTTCGGCTTCCAGCGCCTCCGTCTGCTCCTCTCCCTCAGTGGTAGGAGGGACAGCACTATGCTGTGCCGGAGGAGCCGTCTTGACCTCACCCGCCTACTGCGCTCGATAGATGACCGCCAGGTCCTCTGGCGTCGAAGCGTTCTCGACACTCTTGTCCTCCCTCCTCCGGATGAACCTCGGGAAGCGCATCGACAGGCCTCTCTCCTCGCTGACCAGCCCGAGCGCAGCATGATACACGGGCGAGAGTGTAATGTCCGCGCCGCGCACTTCCCACACCTCGCAGGGACGGAAGAGCACATCCGGCAGGCTCATCCCGCCGAGCTCGTATTCGTCCATCGGCTCACGCTTGCGAGGATCGTAGCACAGCTCGGAGCCCTCGGCAAACTTGGCAAAGATCCGTTTGTACTCATTGTCTGTGAAGCCCGATATGCATTTGCATACCGCTTGGTACCCGCCCGTGTCCGGGTCATACAGAGCAAGTAGGATCGGACTCCACCAGGCCGCTTTGCGGCCCATGCCGTGCCACGCGCCAATAGGGACGAGATCGAGAGAGTCGCCCATGCCTTCGACGTAGTCGCGCTTGACCTTGAGCCAGGACTCGCAGCGTCTATCTGGCTCGTATGTGGATAGTAAAGCTTTGCCTCGCCCATTGACGCCCTTGCCGATCGCATCTTGCTCTCGCTCCTCATCTTCCTCGCCTTCTTCCGTGTTGAGGACGAGCTCATCCGCAACCTCGTCATCAAGCTTCTCCAGCAGATGCTCGCCAGCCTTTCCATCCTCGGTTTCGCCAGTGGCTGCCTTCATATTCCCAGTGTGGAATGCTCGTGTCGTGCACCTGACTTCGGACCCCTCCACAGCCTCCCAGTGATGATCCAAGCTTTTGGCCATGATCCCTTCGCACTTGCTAGCCTGCGCCGCTTCAAAAAACGCAGAGATTTCATCCAAGTCGGTGCTCTCGCACGAGCGTACGTGCGCAAAGCGCGCAATGAGCGGATCGGGAGGGTTGAACTGCGGGAAGCGCGTTTGCAAAGCCTTGCGTCGCTGCCGGAAGGAAGTCTTGAGCAGTGGCTGCATCATTTCCCAAACGGCATAGGCAGCTCAGTGCAGAGTTTTCGGGGAGGAGAATTGCAAGCATTTCACTCACTTTCCCATCGAGGTACATTAGATCAAATGCGAAGACACCGACTTTGACTTTGACATCCTTGATATTGACTTCCTTCCGGCTGCGATTTGCCAGGGTCTGAAAGGGTAATGGCTCGCCCTGCAAGCCAATCGCAACAACCTCAGCGTCCATGATCAGCGATCTGGTCTTCACGGGCGGTGCAGCTGAAGCGGCAGGGTTCTCCAAAAGAGACGTAGAAGCGGTTGTCGCAGCATCACCCTCGCTAGGCCGTGCCGTCGGCAACGCCCCAAGGAAGCTGGCATCTGCCGTCGCCTCCCCGTGGCCCATCAGAAGAGGCATCAGATCGCAAATGTCTGGGTATTTTACGGTCATGTCCTCTAAATGCCGGCTGAAGAGCCGCACCCAGACTTCGCCGTCACCATTGCAGCACTTGACCCATCTGCCCTTCTCCGCAGGCACAGCCTCCCGACGCCTCTTTGCCCAGTCCGGTGCAGCGCCATCCTTCCCAGAAACAGCATACGGCAGGAAGAGCGCGTGAATCTGAACGCGCTGCCCGTCGTACTTGAATTCCGAGACGAAAGCCCGCTCGCCAAATTTCGCACGCATGTCTTGCAAGCTGCGTGTGATGCTGCCAAGCATCGGACTAAGAGGCGTCCCGACGCTGAGCGGGACGCGTGTGCTGAGACCATCCAAACCTACTTCCTGGAGCGCCGGGACGATGACGCTAAAGTTGGGATGCCGCGCGCGGACTTGGCGCATGAGACGCTCAGAGAGCCGAAGACGTGCCATCAGGGTCAGGCGAGCAGGGCTGTGTCGCTCAGACTGCTTTGTCGGCGTAGCGAGGAGACCTTTCCGATCTTCGCGCGTGATGAGATAGTGAGACTTGCTAAATTCTACTGATTCGGTGGCCGTGCCATCCACGAGAGAGAACGTCATAGCTAGGGCTGTTGCGATCGTTGTTTTGACCGCTTGGATCCGCAAGTGACTGACAAAGGTCCTCACAAGAAACCGTATCTCTTCACCTCTGCTCGCAACGAGCAGCTTGGTCACATGTGCCAACTTCGCATTCGCACTGCCTTGCCCTTTGATCCCTGCGATCAGCTGCAGCGTCTTGTATAGTTTCGAGACAGTGAGCGGCACATGCTGCACAAGCGTCTTGCACCCTTTCCTGGCCTCGAATGCCACATCGCCCGAGTCGCCAGTAGAATTCCACAGCTGCTTCATGCGTGCTCGCGATACGCCCGTCACGTCGAGTATTGCCTTATTGAGGATGGAGCCACCCAGACCGAGCTCTACGCCATCGTATGCAGGAGCAATGTGGTTCGAGACGAGATAGACGGCCGGTAAGAGGCTCGAAGCATCGTGCGCGCGAATGACACGAAGGAGATTCGTCAAGAGAGTGGTGATAGCCAAGCGAGAACGTGTCGAAGAGATGAGAGTGAAAGCACGCGCCATCAAGCTGTAAGGGGTACTAGGGACGAGTGAGCCGCTGCCATCGCCTGCCGGTGCCCGTGGCCATGGAGAGGTATCGACCTGAGAAACCGGATCGAACTTGAAGATATCTTCATGCAACGGTATCGACTCAATGGCACTGTCAAGGGCGGCGAGATCAATTTTGGGCGGCAGCGATGGACCAGACGGCATCGGAAGCGGGTCTGCCAGGTGGTGCGTGCTCAGTACCTTTGTAGCAACTGAAGACGATCGTTCCGCAAGAGTGCTCGGGCATGGCACTTCTTCCAAGTAGTTATCTTTGTCAAAGCCCTCCTCGTCTTCGTGCAGGAAGACGTCCTCGACAATTACATCCACGATCTCATCACCGCCTTTGCCTTTGCCCTTGCTCCTGTCCTCGCCTTCGTTCGCATTTTTTCCTTCAGCGTGCATGGTCGCTGATGGCATCCATTCATATCCAGCACGTTGGCAAGCTTCTTGTAGACTCAGGTTCCCTTCCAAAGCTAGGAGCTTCAGCGCGGCGAGAGCATCCGTATCCGCGCCGTTCGCGAGCAGTTGTCTTTCGAACATGCTGTCGTCCATTCGGTCGGCAGCCTCTGCTCCGGCGGACTTTTCTGCGGCTGGGACCACATGAACATCAGGCAGATCACCTGCGCAGCTGCCCGCTGGGCCTGCCCTTCCATTCTTGCAGCTGATCGCAGCAGAGGGGCTGAAAAAGCTGGTGATCCTTTGACTCTTATCCGTCTTGTTTGGCGTGCTATTAGCTGAGCCGCTCCCCTCGATTTTGGTCTTCTTTCGCGGAGGCTGCACCATTTCGAGAGCAGCATGCAACCATCTTTGGCGTATCTAAAGCGAACTGTGGCCCGCGGAGCTGAAGCTCGACGTTGGCGAGAGGGTTGGCATTGGCAGGGCGCCTGATCGCCAATTCGCATCCGCCATCCGGCCTCTGGGAAGGCGAGGACTTTGCTTGGCTCCGCCCGAAGCCAACCCGGCTCACTTGTACCGTAACCAGCACGAGTTCCGCACCGTGTGCTCTCTTTCATGTGTTATTGCCAAGATGACCATTGTCCCCTAGATTCTAGATCTGGTGAGAGATTACATCAACATTGGCTAGCTGACGTCATCCTCGTGAGCATGTGAGTCCCACACAGCGACTCCTTGTATTCCTTTTATGAGACGCGCTGTCGATGGGCTGTATGAATAAATATGACAGCTGCATCATCTCCCAAGCTCCAACAATTCTCTACCTATACAAAGCGTGCAAAGCTCGTGTTCAGTCTCTGGGCCAAAATTTACCTTCGTTACCAAAATACTGCACCTGGAGTGCGGGGGCTGTCCAACCTATGACAAACATGCTCAAATTGACCGAGGCCTTTCGCACTTCCGAGCAGAAAGAGCAATGCAGCTCAGAAGGCGACAGCGGTACCAGCGCATTCTGACCAGCTGGACGCTCGCTTCAGATTCCTACCATCTTCGTCAGACATGAAGCGGTGGGCATCTACACCCAACGAGGCTTCATGCCGTACAAAGCGAAGAGCGGCAGCGGTTATCACCTCCCACCCCCTGCGTTCCAAAGTAGCATCACCAATCGGTATCTTCCACCAGCGTACCTACATTTGCAACATGCCCGTCTTGCTACCATCAGCAGTTTCGCCTCCAAGGCTTTCGCAATTACAGCGTGGGGCAGAGTTTGCTGGCTCGACCCCTGCCACCCGAAACCAGTGACCGAGCACCACGATGAAGCTGAGCACATTGATCCCGCCGCTGTCAGACAAGCCGGGCCGCAAGACAAGCAAGCCTGATGGTTTATCTGGTTTTGTATGAGGAGCAGTCTCGCATTTGCGGGTTTTTGTCTGAGAAGAAGATCCAGGCAACCGCATGGTCCTCAAAAACGGCTGACGATGGACGGGCACGCCATCTCGGAAGCCGTAAATGGACAGCAGGGTGTTGATGTGAGTGCAGCATCCATATTATTTTTTCGGCGCGTTCTGAATATCATGCATCTCATAGTGCTTTGAATCAAGCATACACGAAACGAATGCCATCCTTATGTAGCTTCAGATGTCGTTTCTCAATGGGAACGACGCATGCATCGAAGCTCGCAAGATCGAGAGCAAGCACTCGGACCAAGAAGAATTTCAAGGATCGCCCGTCGAGTCACATCCTGAACGGACAAGTTCTCATCTTCGCTGTCTCAGCGACATGAACGGAAAACAAGCGGGAGGAGATGTAAAAAAATTAGCATGGACGCATGGATCCCAGAGGCTGGCCATTTCGCACGTCTTTCCTTGTTGCTAAAAGGGCTAGCCCACTCAGCTCAATGCAAAGAAGACCAACACAGGCCTGACTACGTCTGGGAGAAGGATGCTGGCTTTCAAACCGATCTACTTGGACAGATTCTTGACCAAGATTCAAGCGGATACCAGGAAACACTTCTACAAAATGCCATTCGCTAAGCATGAACGAAATCACATTTGCCCGTTCCTTTCACGGGACGTCAAGAAATTAAATGACATCGGTTTTCTCTCAAACCATGACCGCTCAAACTCCTCAAAAGCGTTCAGGAAGGTTGTTCGGCCAAATTCAGGCCTTGATACATGTACATTTGCATGAGACCGCATTTTTGAACCTCACATCATCTGTACACATTTCACACAAGCATCGCATTGCGGGTGCTGGATTGTCATCCGCGCCACCCATCCAGAGTGTCTACGAACATATGAACCAGCGATGTATGCTACACCAGCGCAATCCTTGGCTCCTGCTTTGCTCCCCTGCGCAGCTCGCGTGGGCGGTACCACGAATTCTTAAAATTGACCACGCCAGGTAGTGACGCCAGGCTTTCCAAAAGTGCATCGGCGCCTTGCTGCTGCGACTGCTGGGCCGCTACCGGCGTCGCGTTGACGGCTGTCCCCCCCGCAGGAGCGGGAGATTCGGCGGTACTTCCGGGTAAGGAAAGACTTGCGGCTCTGGAGCGGACATCGCTAATCACATCGGGTGGTAGGGGGGATGGCGGCGGGAAAGAAAACGCACTGACAGCGTCGGCCACTCCGAACAGATTCGCTCTCCATATGGACCCGCCCATGAGGTTCTGTGCTTCATTCGGTGTGGCTGGGTACGTGTGCGCCAAGTAGAGCGGTGTCAGTGGTGTCGCAGGCGTCGAAGGAGGTATTCCGAATCCGGACGAGGTGTCGCTCGCGACGCGCAAGCTAATGGGGCTCGACATGGCAAACGAGCCCGCGTGCGGGGCAACTTGGACGCGATCGCCTGCTGCATTGGTGCTTGATGAGTCAAATGCAGATGCGAAGGTGCCTCGACGGGCATTGAGGGATGAGTGGATGCGCGAAAAGTAGCCGCCTCCTGCCGAGCCAGGTGCTGCTGCCGTGCTCGGCGTCTTGGCGAAAGGGGACATCGACATGGGGCCGTCGACAGGCATACCGATTCCGAGGCCAAGGCCCAGCTTGGCTGCCCCGGCGCTGTATAGCGCTGAAAGGGGTGTACGCGCTGTCAAGGGGAGCGCTGTCGCAGACTCGGCATCTGAGACGATCGACGCGCTTGAGGTGCGTGCTGCATGTGGTGCGGCTGTCTCGCCATGACTGGCGAACACAGAAGGCGTTCGTACTCGCAAGGAAAGTCGGCCGCTCTTGACAATGGCAGAACTTGGGCCTGCGTTCGTCTGCGGCACGACAGGCGACGAGGACACGCTCGAGGACGCGGACAAAGATGAAGGGGGTATGACAGACAAACTTGGTCGACCCTCTCTTCGGATGTTGAGTGAAATGCTTCGCCGCGGAATATTCGTCCCGCCGATACTCGACGTAGAGGCAATTGGCGGCGGCATGGCTGCAAGCGGGGCTGATAATGCTGGACCAGCTGCGTCCGGCGTGATAGATAAGGGCGAGACTGCTTGACTGCTACCTGACATGCTAGGACGCAGTGTCAGACGTTTCTTCTTCGAAACTGGACCCCTATCTCGTTCGCTCGGCGGCACGTTCTCCAGCTTGACAGAATCGCTCCGCTGCTCTTGAATCCTGGAACGTCCCTCATTCTGCGCATTCCAGAGCCCAGCCTGGGCTGCTTCGATTCTCCTGATGAGGCTTTTCAGGCTCGTCTGCGTGAGCTGCGAGTTGGTCCACTTCAGCTCGACGAATTCGAGCGGGCGGACGGCAACCGAAACCGCTGGTGTCTCCGACGCGGTGCCCGGCGGTACGGCTGATAGCGGTGCATTCTGATTCTTGGGAAAGACAGGTGTCTCTAGGAAGGTGTAGCTCGGCGGAAGATGCGGAAGATGAGAGTAGTGGGGATCTGAGAGCTGCCAGACGATAGGCCCGAGCGCCGGAACATCCTTGTATTCTGACAGCTCGTGACAACGGCGCCGCTCGGCAGTCGTCTGCAACTGCCCTTCATGAGTCAAGAATTTGGCCAGCGGGTCGGCCCAGTTTGGTATAGGATCGTCGTTGGTATCGGTGGCCTTACGCTTTCCAGTGGCATCGGCCGGGAGTGTCAAGCGCAGTACGGACGGCACCGGAAGTGTCCGGATCGCAATCGGGTGCACCTCGTCGATGGTAGGGTTACTCCTGGTGCGACGGCGCTTGATTTGGCGCTTCAAGTCGAGCTTTGTGATGCCTTGATCCGCGAGCGCGATCATCACATCATGCGCGGAAGGATGGGATCGCTGCGAAGATAAGGCGTGAGAATTCTGCGTGATGAGCGCCAGCTGCTGGATGACTGCGCACACCCGCAATCCCATGTCAATAAACCGCTCAATGGAAGCCTTTATGAGGTCAAAAGGATTTCGAGTCACGCACACTTTTGGACCAGGTCAGTAAAGGTGGCCAATGCACTGCCAGTGGTTGCATGGAAACCCTCATCCTGGCAAACAGCTGAGACGACCTTGGCGATACATCCCGAGGCGGCAGCCGCATCTACGTGATGGTGCTTGGCAAGACTACCGCTGCTTTGGACCGTGTCATTGATATTTGACGCGTGGCCTACGTCGCTCAGCGGATATTGAAGCAGAGGCAGTGCGTACGGGTGAGCAAGATCGCGGCTGGATCCCTCGGACGCTTCATTGACGTTGGCATGATCGGGGACAGGAGGCGCGGAGCTCGATGCCATCGACATCGCTGCAGACTCGAGCCCTTGTCCACAGCAACGCTGAACCCCCTGAGGGTTGTTCCTATATGTTCAGCTGCAACCCCTCGATGTCATGCAACACTCGTGTGTCATAGAGTATATATCTCGAAAGCGTAAATGTACGTGACACTGTAACCTTGAAGGATGAGTGCGCGACTCTGATGTGGCGGAACGGCAGCTCTTCGGAAGAGTAGGAGGATTGATTATTGATTGATTGACCGCAAGTTCTTCGTCATGGCTGATGGCATGAGGTGCCTCGCGTACGGTGCATCTCACTCGCACCTCTTCGTCAGACAGCGAACAAGCTCTTAGATCATCAGGACGCAGAGCAGTGTGGGAATCGCCGCGAAATCGAATTGCTTGCGGCCCTCACGACGCCCAGTGTGCAGTTTCCTGGCACAGAAGCTGCTCCAACGGCCGTGCGGCTCTCAGAAGCGGTGGGCGAGGCGAGTCAACGTCCTGGAATGAACCGATAGGCCAAAGCTGGAGCCGCCATAATGTCAGCGGATTCTAATTCAAAGGTGTGTACTTGGTAGTGTACAGCGCTTTTCTGCCCTGTCCAGAAATGCGGCTAAATGGGACCGTACGGCCAATTCCTCGCTCATCCACAACCTTTCACAGCTGGAAGCGCACCGCGTGCGTTCAGCCATCTCGCAGCTCTCACTGGACGACTTCAAGAACATACCGCGGATACCGTGCGCCCGCAACTCGCTCTTGCTCGGAATCATGACTGCCGGCGGCGTTGTCGGCATCAGCGCTGTCGCGCGGCGAGGGATCCGGCGCGCGTTGAACTGGGGCGTCGGAGGCTTCTGCTTTGTCAGCCTTGCAAGTTGGGAAACGTGCAGACGGAGTAGAGCGGCGGAGAAGGCGAGAATGAAGATGATCGTCGAGTCGTATCAGCGAGGTGGCAAGGCTGCACCGTCGTCATCATTCACATCGCCACAGCCGATGCCGCTGGTTGGAGGAAGCACCGGTGCTACGTCATGACGCGCGCCAAAGCGTGCAAATGGCAAGCTTGTGGACGTTGTGTACCCCGACACAAATTCTAGCCTACAAGCGTATATGTCTACTACAGTATAAGATCCAACAAGGGGAGGCGCGCTAGTGATACATGGGCCTGCTCCTTAACGAGGCGGTCCTGCAACGGGCAGTCCATCAAATGAACATTTTGTACTACTTCAGATATTGATCCCAGAAGCCTTTAGTGCCCTGAAAGGGCGCAAGGTAACGGAAGAAACTCAGAAAATGTTGACGCGGACCCGGACAGTGTGTTCTGCATGGCGCTTGCACTCACGTTGTTCGGCGCCCTGACGTCCGGAGGCACGCCGATGATTTCCGCGACAAGGTTCGCCACCTCGGTGTTGTCAAAGCTATACATGTTGTGCCATCCCACCAGGGCGGGCCCTTTGATCGACTTGCGCGGCTTGAACGATGGACCTCGCGCAACAAAAATTGCCGCCATGTCCGGTTCGTTGCTGTCGTAGCCGTGATTCCCGATCGGCTTGTACCGCCCGCCGAATTTGCGCATCTCCTCTCGACTCGTGATGCTCCACGGGAGCTTGGGAACCACCCACAGCGGTGCGATGCGCTCGTTGTTCCGCCAGTGCCAATGCTCTGGCAGCTCTTCCCTCTTGAACACTTGAAACGCCCTCCCGCTGAGCAGCGATCTTCGCAGCTGTGCCTCGGCTTGCTGCTGCAGCTCTTGCTGCCTTACAGCGTTTCCTTTGAAGTGCAGCCCGACGCTGGGCCAACCATCTTTGGTGTGCACTTCGCTCATCAGTGACGCATCGAGCAGTTCGTCAAGGTAGACGAGCTTCTCCTGCGACGTCTTCGTCATGCCGTGATCTGAGACGACGATCAGGTCGACGAGGTGCTCTGCACCGAATTCTTTGATCAAGTTGCGAAGCGTGGCAACGAAACCGTCGGCCGCTCCGAGCGCTTGGGCGGCTTCGTACGAGTCGGGTCCGTGCGCGTGCGCAGCTTGATCTACGACCGGGATGTAGACTTTTTGTCGGTTGCACCCCAGAGTAACACGAATCAGTGCTGTGGAATGGAGCCTTCGCTTTGAGCGAAACCACTGATTTACTCACGGCACATGACTTGCGGTCGCTTCTGGACCGGCAAGCTCAGCCACTCGCGCACTTTGTTTTCTCTCTTTTCCATGGTCCATTTCCCATCATACTCTTCAAACAGCGAGGGTCTATCCCCTGTACTGAGTCTAGGTGGTCCAGGCCAGTGCATTACCCCGCTTGGCACGCCAGCTCTCTCTGCAGTCGCCCAAAGTGGAATGCCTTTCCACCACGCTCCGTCGTGGCTCTGCAGCGGATCCGTGTATTGAAAATGCCTTCCCGAGCTACCAGAAGGCGGGGGTAGTGGTGGAGCGATCGTAAAGTCGTTGGCGATGATCCCATGGGACTCGACGTGGAGACCCGTGAGCAAACTCCAGTGGTTTGGGAACGTGAGGGTGGGGAAGCGCGGCTGCAGGTATTCGGCGATGATTCCGTTATTTCCGTCTCCCGCAACTTCAGATGCCTCTATACCCATCTCTACCAGTTGGGGCATCTGTCCATTTTCGAGGTATTGTGGCTTTGCACCGTCGATGGAGAGCAGGATAACTGTCTTGCGCCAGGGGTGCGTTTGGTTGCTCAGCACATTCTCTTGCAGGAGCGAGGTGGCCAGTCGAGCCTTGTCTTTCGGGGGATGGCTACTGCTGGTCGGTGCCCCAGGTGCATGCGAGGTGGTTGTATGCCATGCAGATCGAATGGAAAATACCGCGAGCACCAACGCTGTGAAGCCTATTGCTAGGAGGAACACGACCCGAGCTAAAGGGTACCATCGCTTGGTCGTCAGCCATTCGTAGCGATCCCTGGCGTCATAGGTCCTTGTTCGTCTTTTCCGATCTCTCTCCCGTTTCAATGATCGCATAAGGCTCTCTTCTTCTTCTAGCCAGGTAGTGTCTTCTTCGTCGCGAACACCTGCGACTCCCGCTTCCAGCAACCCTTGGACCTCAGGCGCATGTTCGATGTCGGCAGCAGCATTGTCGGCCGCGCTACCGGTGCATTGACTGGGGATGGGTCGGAGCGGTAAGGTTGAGCTTGCTGATCGCGACATGCTGGGCCTTTGGCGCAGATTCACTTCCATCTCCAAGGTGGTTGCGGCGATGACAGCATCCTAGATGGAAGTCCAGCAAGCATTGGTGTGTGACCTCGGGAGGCTGTTGCATTCAATGCGTTCGAGTCGCGAGCTGTTGTCGCCGTGGCTGGTGCCCTGTTGGCCCAAGCGTAGTAACACAACCCTAACTCTGAGCTTCACGTTCGCACAGCTCCATGCCTCAACAAGCTGCAAGCATGGCCGTATTCAGACGCTACTATACAGACACACTAGTACATAGGATAGGGTGAATGGTCACATTGTTGAGAGGCCTTGAAGAGGTTGCGAACCATAGAAACTGGAGGGTGACGGGTACGATACAATACGAGGAGCAAGGAGACGGAAAAGGTACAACGCTTATGTCCGAGCTGACCACCATCTGCTTCCCCACGATGAGTGTGCCCTCGACTCCTTGGCAAGCGCCGCAGCCGTCGACAATCGGCAAGCTCTCCCCGGCCGAGCTGGAGCCCGTCCTGAAACGTCTGCTCGAGTGTCCCAGCTTTTTAACGCCCGTATTGGCTTCCCAAACTGCCGCAGCCATCAGCGAGCTTGACGAAGACAGCAGGCCAGACACATTCGAAGGACTGCTCGATGTTGCGAGATACTGCATTGATGACGACCCCGGCTGGGATCTGGAGGAGAGGAGGCAGCTCGTCGGAGGCCACCCGCCAATCGGGACCAAGCTTACGCCGGGAAGCCTGAGCGAGGAGAGCAGAAGAGAACAACTCAAAGGCGGCGAGGCAGATCAGGAGACAATGGACCGTGAGCTGACTGCCAGCATCGCGAGTAGGTCGCACAACTGACTCGAGATTTGGCTGCACGCAGGACTAGCAAGGCTCAATGCTCTCTACAACAAGCGATATCCTGGCCTAGCATTCGTCACGTTTGTCGCAGGGAGACCGCGCGCTGTCGTTGCAGACGAGCTCGGGAAGCTGCTTGGGCCAGAAACAGTCGATGCCAAGGTGAAGGCAGAGTCGTTCCCGGACACGCTGGTCTTCAAGAAAGGGAGCAAAGAATGGCTTGCAGAGTATGAGCGAGGGTACGACGCACTATGGCAAATTGCATTCGACCGGGCAGGCAAGATGGCACAAGGGCAGCCAGCGAATACGGGAGCAGCAGCGCCGACAGCAGGAGCAGGAGCAGTAGCGCTTGCGGCGGCAGCGCCCGATCCAACTGCAGTAGCGACCGCGACAGGGAAGAATGAGAAGCGAGAAGAGCCTTTCATCTCTCTAGCGACGTTCCGCATGCTCGCGCTGTCGTCGCCTGTCCTTGAGTCGTTCTTTGAGCGAGATCTGTCTACTTCCTTCCAGCTCAGCGCACCGGAGCGCTCCGAGTCGGGTGGAGCGTTTGCCTGGCATGCCGCGCCATTGTTACCCAACTCGCCAAGGGCGATTCCAGGCGCGGACGGTGCCTCCTTATACTCGGCGGCAGCAGGCGGCGGCAGCGGGAATGTGGGATCAGCAATGGGTGGTGCTATCTCGCACGCGAGCTACAGTAAGGACGTGACGACGGGCGCGCGTGGCAAGGTCGTCGGCTTCCTGGGCGGTCTGCTGGGCGAGGAGGGCAAGGCGAAGATGACGCAGCTGGCAGACTCGGTGGCGCAGCGGCTGCAAACGCATACCGTCACGGGGCCCGTGCCGTCATTTGGGCGCGACCGCACGCTGGACGGCATGGTGATGGACACGGCGGAGCTGCGCGACGCGGAGGAGCGCAGGAGGCGCCAGGCGGCCGACGAGCGCAAGGCATCGTTCGGCGCGCGCCTTGCCGGTGTCGTCCGGGGCACGCCAGCGAGCGCGAACGCCAGCCCACCGGGTGCGGACGCCGCCGTGCCACGGCTGGACGACGCGCCGCGCGGGCGCAAGGCGACGCGGGGCAAGCACGAGAAGACGATGTTAGTAGTGGAAGACGACGCGCTGCGCAGTGCGGCCGGGAAGCGGGCGAGCATGCGCGCGACGGACCTGGCGCAGCTCGGCCCCGGCGCGGCGGTCGAGGCCCTGCGGCTCGCCGCAACGCAGGAGCGCTCGCACTTTGTCATCGACGAGGTCGGCGACGCGCGCGGCGGTGGCGGCGGTGGAGGTGCAGGAGGAGGCGCAGGGGACGCCGATGCGGAGGTAGAAGCGGAGGCGGAGGAGCTCGGTATGGATGATGCCGTCGCTGGCGCCATCGCGGCTGCGCCGGACGAGGCGGGCCGGTTGGAGGGCAAGGAGGCGCAGCTGGCGAAAGGTGAGTGGCCGTGCGCAGCGGTTCGGGGTTGACAAGTGCATTGGTGCGAGGCTGATCCGACGCGGCCGTCCCGTCTGTGCCCCTGTCCTTGTCCGCTGTAGACCTTCGATCAGCGCCCGCACAATAGAAAGAGGGAGAGAAGCACAAGATGTAATGGTAACACAGAGTAACTCGCAGCGAGCGAGTGTCCACATGCTGGCGTTTAGGTGCTCGACTGGTTCTGGAGAATACGCGAATGTGCGCTGGCGCTTGCAGGCCTGCAGAGAGCCTGCAGCGCGCGACTTTGCCCGTGGCCAGGAGGACGTCTCAACTTTTGAGGCATGGAGAGCTTTCCGGCGTCAAATATGCATGGTACCCACGCACGGACGCTCGGCAGCTCTGTCTCGTCTCGTCGTGCAGGGTTCATCCCCATGCTGACGGTGGAGGACCGCGTATGAGCCCAAGAAGGGGTGTTGGACGCAGTGCGTGCCCGTGTGCGGCGGGTACCTCCCTTTCAACGAGAGCGGGGTAGGGGATGTAGAGCAGGAG